CTACCTGAGCCATCTGACTTTCACAAAAGACCAAAAATAAACGCTTTACATGTATTTTTCAGCAACTTCGTCAAATAATTTTATAGCTTTGTCGATCTCATCTACTTCAAACGTTTCTTTACCTTTCGTGGGAGCACCATACATTTTCTCAAACTTTTCAAGTAGTTCTGTTTCAGCAGCTCTCATATCATTCACAAACACAACCTTAACTCTATTGACTATACTGTCATATCTTTGAGTTATATTATATGTTCTTCCTATCTTATATCTCTTTGTATTGAAGTCCTTCGGTTTCTGAACGATGTAAAGTAAGCCTTCACTGCAACGTTCCGTATCGAATGAACCATATGTTATGAAATTATATCCAACAACTGGGTCTAACCATAACAAAACTATTGGTATAAGACTTTTGTCAATGAGATATGCTGTAGTTCCACAGAATCTTACCGATATCATAAGCTCAGGATTTCTTGTCAAAATTTTCTGAGTTGAAGCAATTCCAACCCAATGCCATGTTTTCTTTCCAAATGGTGATATAATGTCTGACAAAGAATATTTGTTGTATTTCTTTGAGTATCTTACGTTTAAATCACCTATTCTAACCACTTTGGTCTCATTGTCTATCTTTTTAACTGTTTCAAACTCAGTGCTTGTCATTTCCTGTTCTTACATACAAAATAAAAAAAAATATTTTAAAAAAACTAACGTTAATTTTATTTTTTCTATCTTGTATAAAAGATATGATTTCATAGAGTTTTTTTTACGATTTTCATGAGTTTTAGGCGACTACGGTTTTTTCCGTACTCGCATTTTTTCACTGTTTTCATGAGTTTTTTTACGATTTTCATGAGTTTTAGGCGACTACGGTTTTTTCCGTACTCGCAATTTTTCACGATTTTCATGTGTTTTAGGCGAGTACGGTTTTTCTCGGGGTAGCAAACATATGAGGAAATTCATGAAATTTGGTCATTTTTTTCAGCAAAAATATATTTTAGGTGGAACCAGGTCACCAGGTCCCTCGGTCCCTCGGTCAACTAACATCTTTTTGAAAATGGTGACAACATGACATTTTGACAACAGTCCAGGAAATAAACTTCTTCGTATATGTTTTGTCATGATTTCATCGTCAATGAGCGTAAATCAGACAAAAATATATTTTATGTTAGCATGTTAGATCTAACACGTTTTCTAACCTCTTTTCTCACCTCTTGAATTTTGTATAAAAGATATGATTTCAGGGATTTTTTTGACGAAGTGTCAAAGTTCTCTTCGTCAAAAAAATACAGTTATATAATGAAATTTGGTCATTTTACTCGGCAAAAATATATTTTATGTTAGAATGTTAGATCTAACATGTTTTCTAACATGTTTTCTAACATAACTATTTACAAGCGTTTTACATGGTATATGTTGCGATGGTTCATGACTCTAAACAATTTCGTAGCTTCTATTTCTTCTGTCAGTATGTCAAAAGTTTTAACGATACCGAAAGTTTCTTTATATTTCTTCTTGACATCAGATAATAGGAAATCGTCAGCAGTTGGATAGTTTTTGTTCAGAAATTCTAACATGTTCATTTTATCTTCTGCTGGTTTTTCTGCTTCTTTCTTTAAATCTGCATAGTCGTTTCGCATACGTTCTATCTCTTTGACGGAGTAGTTATATTTCCTCATTGCTGCTTTACATTTTGAACATTGCGGGTTCATTTTGCGTTATATTCTGAAACCTTACCTGCAAGTATGACCAAGGCGTCAATGGTTTTTCTTCATCTCGAACATAGCGGGTTTTATTTGTTCGTTCCATACCTTACCCCTACTATCTTTATCTCTTATTTCCCAAACACATTTTGCAACTAACGAAACAAAGTTGTCGTAGGTCTTAAATTCTTCGGATTTGTAAAGGTCAGAGATGTTCTTATATACCATGTCGCAATCTTTGTCCATAACCTTATGGTTGCAATGAAAACCAAGGAATTCATAATTTACCTTTCGTATGAACTTCTTTATTTCTACTGAGTCAGTTGCTTTGACTTCTATTTCGTCAAATTCGGGAATGGTTAGTTTTTGTTGTTGGATTTCAGGCAATTTGGGTAAATGGTCAATAATGTCCTGCATTTCATAAAGATACTGTTCATTTGTTTCATCTTTCGCACTACAGTCTAAATTACTTGTTAACAGTTCTTGCTTTATCTTCTGGATTTTTGTTTCAAAAGTATATGAAGAAGGAATGAAGCTTTTCATCTCTACTAACATAGATGTTGGATTCATAACTAGCGAGTTTGGTGCTGTAGTTGCTAAACATGTTCTTACAATAAAATAAAAAAAAATATTTTTTTAAAAAAAACCAACTTTATTTTTTATTTCGGGAAAATTCATGAAAATTCAAGAGTTTTAGACCATGTTAGAAAACGTGTTAGAAAACATGTTAGATCTAACATTCTAACATAAACATTATTTTTGGTGTAAATTTCATGAAAATTCAAGAGTTTTAGACCATGTTAGAAAACGTGTTAGAAAACATGTTAGATCTAACATTCTAACATAAACATTATTTTTACTGAATTCAGCAACAAAATTCAAATTGTAAAAAGTCAAGCTTGAAAAATGTAAGTGTTTAGTCTTAGTAAGATGGTAGCTTCTTAAAGCAAATACCATTGCTGAGTTTTATGTACGTGAAGAGAAGTACAATGAATTCAATTACGAGTACAATTGCAATGACAACTAAGGCAACTATTTTTGTCTTTTGCCAGCAAGGGTACTTCTTCTCTTCCAATGGTTCGGCAGCAGAACTATACTCACTCATGAGAAATGCCAAAACGGTTTAATAGAAAAAGTGTCATTTTTTCATGTCCGAAGACTCGAAGGTGCAACACTTCCAAAATACCGACGAACTCAGAAGAGCAGCATGGCAGTATCTTCTTGACAACTTCTTTGAGTTCTCCAGGTACACCTTGGAAAATGCTGAAGAACTCCGACACAGAGAATTTGGAGAAATTGCACTCCAATACTACCTTGACAAACAAAGGGTAAACAAAGGGTAAAATAAGACTAAAAACTTAACGTTTAAAAAGTGACATTTTTATGAGCTCCGAGTCACCGAGAAAACTTGGTCAGATGTTAGCAGCTTACTTCCCTGAGGAGGATGGAAGCGTTACATACATAAGGTTCAAAAACAACGAACCTGGAATTGCGTACCAAATTCGCAATTACATGACCATGGAAGAGTACGAAAGGTTTCTACAAGAGAAACCAGCTCTAAACAACTCAGAAAAGAAAGAGTAAAAAGTTTAACTCGTAATTGTTTATTTTTTTACTTGTATGGGCAAGCTGCAAGAATGAAGTCAACTATCTCCGTCTTTGTCTTGACCAGTTGGACTGCTCTTGCGAGTATGTCTGTTTTGCGGTCTCCAGCTGGTGTCTGACCTTCGTAATTGCGCATGTTCTTGAGAGCTCCAACTGTAAATGGTTGTAGGATGAAGAGTCTCTCAGACTGCTTGAGGTAGTCTTCACGGTCACGAACCGAATCTGTGGTACGAGTCGAATCGGTCGATTTGAGGGAAGAGACTGAAAGCCTGTCGTCTTCCATAGGGGCAGTAGCATACTCTTTGCGTAAACGGTTCAGACCTTCTTCGAACTCTTGGTCTCTCTTGGATTGAGATTGGAATTGGAATTGGGGTGGAGGGTTTGACATGAACATCCAAGGGTTAGGGCAGTAAGGCATAGGCTGAGGAGGGTAGTTCGGGAAGCCTTGAGGAGGTATTTGGTAGTAATTTGGAAATTGGTAGTAATTCGGAGGTACTTGTTGGAACTGAGGTACTTGTTGGAACTGAGGTTGCTGAGGTGCAGGGGCTGGTGCTTTAGGTTCCTCTGGTTGGGATATGGGCTCGGTTGGTGGTACGTCGGACATTGTCTTGAAACAATAAAAGACTTGTCTTGAAACAATAAAAGACTTGTCTTGAAACAATAAAAGACTTGTCTTGAAACAATAAAAGACTTGTCTTGAAAAAGTAAAAGACTTGTCTTGAAAAAGTAAAAGACTTGTCTTGAAAAAGTAAAAGACTTGTCTTGAAAAAGTAAAAGACTTGTCTTGAAAAAGTACGGGTATCGTCTGAAATCAAGACCACTGTTCTCAAATTTGAGAACTTTACACCAAAAAATTTCTTGAAAAATAACGGGTCTTGTCTTGAAAAAGTAAAAGACTTGTCTTGAAAAAGTAAAAGACTTGTCTTGAAAAAGTAAAAGACTTGTCTTGAAAAAGTAAAAGACTTGTCTTGAAAAAGTAAAAGACTCGTCTTGAAACAATGACCGACATAGACCCAGCAGATGAGGCAATCTACCTTATAGAGATAAATGAGCTAGTTAGGAACTACCTGAGCCATCTGAAGTCAAACAAGACCATTGCAGGCTGGGTGTCTGGAAGAAGTGCGCTTAAAATTGAAATTGACACTGGAATTGTCCTGCAAATACCAGAAAACACTCCTTTCGACGACATAAAAGAGATGAAGAAAGAAGTCCTCTTGAAGTTCTTTGCCAAGCGTCCTTGGATACTACTTCCAAACAGAGAGAACCCAACTGTACGAATTGCCCAAATTCTCAGAGGACTCTTACACTTCTCGGGTCGGGCGTTCTTCATAAACACAGAAGGCGACATCGTACCTTTACAGTAAACATCTCATTTTAACTTCACTTTTTTATGTTTTTACTCACACTCGTACTCAACAGGTTTGTGTACAACTATTTCAACTGTGAACCTTGTATTGACCGGTCTTCCTGCAAATGCAAGTTCGGTCAATACACAATTTATGGTGGCAAGAAGGACAGTGGGGAATGTTATTCTGACATCTGTTGTTGCGCTCGAGAGAGAATTGAAATTTCAGAGCCAACTCCAACACCAACACTCAAGTTGCCAAAGACTCATGTGAAGAAGAAGCCTTCTGGTAAGTTTCTTATAGCCATATACATGGCACGCTTTGAGTAAAAACATTTTTTTCATTTTTTTGAATGAAGCAAGTTAAATTCGTCCCACACCAATCTCAATGGACCGATGAAGAGTTTCAAGCTATGGTTGAAGGTGTTGAGAACGACATAGACGGCGAACTTGAAGGAGCTCAAACCACAATTGCAACCAAAATTGCACAAGTCAAGGAACAGATAGCTCCACTTAAAGCTACCAAAGCTACTCTTGACCTCATGGATAGTTACCGTTTAGATGTCAAGAGTGGAATAAGACATTTAAAATTAAAACTTCTAAACTACGAAGCTATACTCCAAAAGTTAGCAGAAATGAGAAGACTTTACCAGAGCTACTTACATGTAAGGGACTTACCTTCAAGCAGTCCGACCAAAGATGAATTTTCTGACATTGTCCCAATTTTGTCCGAAAGTCAGCTCAGATGTTTTGAACTGCTCCCAACATATCCGGAATATGAACGTTTGCCTGAACTCTTCCGCAATCTCAAAAAACGTTTTTTGGTTCTCATGTTCGAAACTTTTATCGGAAGAGACAACAACACAGGAAATAAACTTCTTCGTATATGTTTTGTCGAGACTTCTTCGTCAATGAGTGTAAATGACCCAAAATATATTTTAGGGTAGAAGGTTAGATCTAACCTGTTTTCTACCCTCATTTCTACCCCATATGTCCTTACTGAAAAAAGTATGTGTTCCATATGTCATTTTACTCAGAATTTTACTCAGAATTCAAGAGTTTTGTGTGTTTTCTACGATGGTAGAAAAGAGGTTAGAAATGAGGTTAGATCTAACCATCTACCCTAAAATATATTTTTATTGAATTCAGCAACAAAATTCAAGAGTTTTGTGTGTTTTCTACGATGGTAGAAAAGAGGTTAGAAATGAGGTTAGATCTAACCATCTACCCTAAAATATATTTTTCAATACTTTTTCAGCACTTTTCCGTAGTTGTATATGAAAGACAATTCGGGATGAAATTTCTTCATCTGAAATAGTCCTGCCAGCGTTTGTAAAGATATAGTCTAACGGTTTTGTATCTGCTGCTTTTGTTCTTTGTTTTTCAACCTGAAGCATTTCAAATAAAATAAAAATATACTGTTTTAAAAACGTTTTAAAATGGTATGCCATATAGCTTCTTGAATTTGTTGAGAAATATATGAACGTGTTTTCCATCTGTATCTCTAGTGTTTACATAAGCATAGCCCGCCTTAGTAAAACATACTTGTAATTTTCTATAGTTTACGCCGGTATAAAGGTAGAAAGAGTCCTGTTCTTCGCTATAGTAGTAAAACTCAAACGTATGCTTACCATAGTCTGTAATTTCAATTGCTTCATCTTCTAGTTCGTCGACAAATTCGAATACAATATCTCTAAATTTGCCTATGTTCTTACTGTTTTCAGAACAAGTGACCCAGCGTAAGTTTTCAAGTCTATTGTCGTTTCTTATATGGTTTATGTGGTCTACAAAAGGTAGATTGTTAGGATTCGGTATAAAATGAGTTGCAATGACAACATGTTTAAAATAGTGTTTTCCACCAATCCTCATCCTAGCATATCCGTCATTTTGCTCCCATTCGCTTAAAACTCTTTTTGTCTTTTTGTTTCTGACTTCAAATGACTCACAACAGTGAATTTCATATTTCTCATCTAACAAACAAGTTTCCCAACGGTCTGTTCCAACAAACCCAGCGTACATTTCAAATAAAATAAAAAAAATATTTTTTTGAAAAATATACTGTTTTCCTTTTACTTTACATAACCTCCTGCTACCATAAGTCTTTGACGCCAACCCATACCAGCTAATGAAGGTTGACTTGGTTTAGTTTGGAAACTAAACTTTGGTTTTGGTTTATCTTCAGTTTTTGGCTCACCTTCTTCTATCGGTTTTTCGTCACTTTTCGGTTCCTCGGGTTTTACCCCACCTGCAGGAACAGTTGTGTCGTCAACATCTTCATAAATATCATATGCCATTTGTTTTTGTTTTCCTTTCAACTTTTTGTGTTTGTTGTAAAGTTTAGAATATTTCGACTCTAAGTCAATGAGATGTTCTATAATGAACTGTTGATCGGTGAAGTAAACTTTTCCATCTGTTGTCTCGAAAGCTCCTTCAGACTTCAATATTTTATTTGTGAGAGTCTGTTTCTTTTTTGAGATACTAGCCGTTCCATTTCTATGAAAAGTGACTTTGTAGTTAGGGTTTGTATTTCCAGACCTGGCACTTTCTATTATTGAATTTTTCTCTTCATCTGTAAGTTCTTTGACGGGTTTTGACAATGGTTCTGAACTTTTTGTTTGTGGTGTCAAATCTACCGTTTCAACTTCTTCGGTCATTTCATCTCAGTAAAAAATTTTAGTTTGTTTTGTTTTCAACTGGTTGTTTAGGTTTTTTAAGTCGGTCTAAAACTTCCTGAGGTATAGGGAGGACTTGACAAACACGTGGTTGTGTAACTGCTGGAAGTCGACAAATCCATCTTGAACCCATTTGTCTCAATGCTGTATTGTTCATTTCATCTCAGTAAAAAAATTTACATTCCCCACGTTTGAGGCGGTTGAGGTTGGTTGTTGTTTACCCACTGTTGTGCATGGTTATATCCTCTGTTAAAGAATCTTTCACCTTGGTCCATATAGTGTCCTGCTTGGTTATAGTAGTCATTTGCTTTGTTATAGTAGTTTCCTGCTTCTCTTCCTACATTGTCCATCCATTTGAACTTTTCCTCTTGTTTCAGGATTTGGAATAAGATTTGCTGCATCTCGTGCTACCTCCCAACCTTTCTGTACAGTTTGTATAATAGGTTGTGCTTTCTCTTTCAGTATACCTAATGTACTCAAAATCTTCCTTCCAATTCCAAATGCACCTCTGGCTATTGTTCCCACTGCGGGCAAAAATCTGGATGCAACTCCTGCTAATGCGCCAAATAAACCCATTTCTTACAGGGTAAAAATGACGAATCCAAACAAGGACCCCTATGTTTCTAAGGCAACAAAGAAAGCACTCATGGTAAAAATCTTTAGTTCAACACCAAATGCTTGGTTTATGGATATCTTGGAAAACATTCCGAGGTATAGAGAAGATGGACCACCATACTGGCTAATATTTGTCGGTCAAAACACAAGATACTGTGAAGCCATACCATTATGGTCCAAAAATATTTTAGATGTGAAAACTGCTTTGACAATATTCGTTGACAAATACCATCCAACAAAACTGACATCTGACTGTGAAAGTTCTTTCAAATCAGACGATATTAAAAACTATCTGCGTTCAAAAAATGTAAACCAATATTTCATTGTCGACCAAAACCATTCTGCTCTTGGTGTCATTGACAGTTGTATAAAAATCTTAAGAGACTTAAACCAACCACAAGGTGGTGAAGCAAATGAAATGTCATATGACGACAAATATAGACACTTCTCCATGGCAAAGATGAGACAAGTTTTAAATATTTACAATAGCCGTAAACAAAAAGGTTTGGGAAACCACTCCCCCGAAGAAATGAAAAACAACCCTGACTTAGAGAAAGACTATATATTTAATAGTTTAGTCAAAAGAGACAAACAAGAAAGAATGCCAGGCTTCAAACTTAAGAAAGGCGACAAAGTAAAAATAGAAATACCTAAACGCGACCCATATGAAAATACTATTGACTATGACAACAATGGGAACTCGACAGGTACTCGCATTCGTGTTCGTAAAAATAGAAGAAAGTATACAAGAGAATATTATGAAGTTTTAGGCAAACATGGCAAAATGTACACACTGCAAGCAGAAGATAAAACTACTATTGTCAGACCTCGTTTCAAACTTGTCAAAGTTCAAGGTGGTATACTTTCAAAGACAGTTCCTAACAAATATAAGACAACTCCTGACGAATATGCTAAAGAAGTTGAAAATGACGACTAAGCAATTCTATACCATGCGTAAACTGTCATGTAAGGTGGCATGTAGTCTTTACTCTGTCCCGTTGTTTGCGTATATCCTGAAACGAAATGTGTATGGTTTCCTTCTCCCTGCGTGTCATCCCAGTAACAATTTATAGCAAACTTAACGTCGTCTTTAACATCATATCCTTTACCTTTTGTCATTCCTGACCAATCCCAATATCTATGCTTATGCCAACCTGCTTGAGATGTACTTAAATCTATGTAGTGACTATGTGCAGGTAAGTTTTCACCTGAAATCGTTTTACTTCCACCTGTTTCCTTTGAAGAGTTTGCACAATACAAAAACCTGTCGACTATTTGTTCCCATGCACCAACACCAAACATTGCTTGAGGACCTCTTGCTTCCATTGACGTGTAAATAGAACCTACTGGGTTCATTAAATCAAACATATGAGATATTATAGGATTGTCTCTTTTGAACTTAAAATATAGTGCAACTATTTCAGGTTTCTTCTGGTTCATGTCAGAATATTTTTATAATATAATCTTATGTTTTCAGGGTAGGTAAAGTCTTGACTATAATATTTATTTCTGTCATCTGTAGAATAGTATACTATTCTCGTTTTTTCTATTGCATTATATCTTTTATATCTATAAAAATCTAAATATAATGTTAGCTTTTGTTCATCTACATGTGGTGTTCTTTCGTCATCTCCATAGTCATAATAGTATGGTGCTGGAGCTGGGTCAGGCAATGTCATATCTGCCATTTCATAAACTCTTAAATATTTCTTTTGTTCGTCTCCATATATGTTTAAGTAACAGTTGTTGTCTAATGGAACTTTAACTTGTGTACCATCGTTCTTTTTATAGCTTACATACATTTCATTGTTATTTTTCGGAATGAGTTTATACCGTGTACCATTTTCTAAGGACTGTACCAACTGCCATCTAAAATATTTGTTTTCTTCATTGACAGAAAAGTCACCAACAATAGTTTCAATATTTTTTGTTCCTAGCAAACTTTGGTATATTTCATTGACATATGTTTTATCTGCTTTATTTTCAAGGCTAACGTTTAAGTCTGTTATTTCAGAAGATGTATGTGTATGTCCAACGTCACTTTTCCTGTTTAAGGTTTCTTGTAAGTTTGCAATATTTGCAATGGTATGTGTATGTCCAACGGTACTTTTCCTGTTTAAGGTTTCTTGTAAGTTTGCAATATTTGCAATGGTATGTGTATGTCCAACGTCACTTTTCCTGTTTAAGGTTTCTTGTAAGTTTGTAATATTTGCAATGGTATGTGTATGTCCAACGGCACTTTTACTGTTTAAGGTTTCTTGTAAGTTTGTAATATTTGCAATGGTATGTATATGAGTCTTTTTAGAATATTCTTTGTCAGCTCTTGTCACTTCACTTGACATTTTATTGTCAACATATGTTTTATCTGCTAGTTCAGGATGAGTATGTTCTTTCGTTGCATATGTTGCATCTGCTCTGTCATGTTCTTCTTGAACTTTTTCAATGACATATTCTTTGTCAGCTTTGTTGCCAACATCTGCTTTCAAAAGAAGTTCAGATATAGGTTTCTCGTTTAAAGTTCCTTTTGTTGGATTTATACAGACAGTATGGTTCTTACTGTCTTGAAACAGAAACTCGTCTGTCATTGGGTTTAATGTCAGTTTTAAGTTTCCTTCTTTCAATGACTCAGATATCTTAGAATAGTTTGAAAAGTTTGTTGTGTTCTTATTTAGAGCTTGCAAAATGAGTTGTCGGTTGTGTTGTATTTCTCTCATAGATGCTGTTTCTTTCGACATTTTTATTCTAGATAAAATATGCTTTCAATAGAAAAAGAAAATTCAAGAGTTGCTACAACTAAACCATTAGATGAACTTTTTACTAACGTAGGTCAAAAGTTTGAGACAGAGACCGTAAAGCATGAAGGCTATCGTTTTGACTACCCGTTAAGATGGTTAAGAGACCCATCCGTCACAAAAGCTATTGGCTTTCGTAGAATGAAGTTCATTTCAGAAGCCATACATGGTTTCCCATTTACGGTCGCTTTTGAAGTTCGATACTATAACAAAGAAAAACGTACGTATGAGAAATTTGAACAGGGAAAACTTTTACAAGTGAATTTGCTTGTAAACTTAGAAACAACTCTTCAAGCTTTTCAAGAAAAAATAAACGACATCTATATCGAATATGCAAACCAGTATAACATTGACGAAGGAGAGTACCATCTCGATATTATATATGACAGGAAAAATGCAACTGTTAAATTCAATAAAATAGAAGACCTTGGAGAAAACGTTTATATTTCTACAAAATATAACAACTTGGCATGGCATAGATTTTTGAGGATGTTAAATCAGTCTGCATGGTATCCAGTACACCCGGACTATTATGAAGTCTCAAACCCTAATGGAACATATGAAAATGTTTTCGACTCTGACGCTATTATAGTTCATGCTTCATTTTCTGGTGCACAAAACTCTTTTTTATGCTTGGCAAATGACTTTTACGAAAAACCTACAAAGCTATACGAACCACCAAGTGGAAGTATTTCAGACTTTCAAGTATGGTTTACTACAGATGGAAGAAAGAGAATAATTCCATTATACCACGCGTTTTACTTAGAACTTAGTTTCATATACAACTACTATCGAACGGTAAAAATATAACTTTTTAATATACCGGTTGTGGTTGCCAACTTGACTGTGGTGCAGGTTCAGGCTGTTGTATTACAGGAGCTTGTTCTTCTGGTTCAGGGTCTTTAGGTATAATACCAACGAACTGACCTACTCTTTTGCCAATATTTTTGACTCCGTTCCAAATTCCTCTTCCGACAGATTTTATTCCATTCCATATACCTCTTCCAACATTTCGAAAGAAGTTTCCTATTCTTCCAAAGAAACCCATTTTACTATATGTAAAAATCTAATGTCCACCTAGTCTCTTACGTTTCCTTCTGAGTTCCATAGCATTCTTTAACTGGAGCTCATACATTCTATTTCTCCTCTGGTAGAAAACATACTCTGGGTCAACTCCTGTGTTCGCGTCATCTGCATAGAGTTGTTTATATCCCACTTCAGGGTTTGTATAAAACTCTTTCCATCTCATATTTGCATACCATGGTGGCAAACCTAACGCAGCGTCATTTGACATGGCAGTTTGCATTTGTACATCTGTTGGCACTTGACCATAGTTTGCCATTGCAGTTTGTATTCTAACTTCATTTGGAATATTCTCTGGGTTTGGTTGTCCAGGTTGCTGTGCATTCGCTAAGTTCTGTGCGTCCATTTAATATTAGATAAAAATATCTCTTACGAGTACATATGCTGGACATTTGCAGGCATTGGTTCATCTTCATATTCTCTATATCTTTCTGCCACGTCAAATAAGTAAATGACACAATGGAAAAAACCTAAAACAAGTAGTCCTATTTCAAACCACATTTACTTACCAATAAAATTTCTTTGTTGTGACACTTTCTCCAGTTTATAGGACCTCTCTCATATTCTATCTTATCGTATCTAAACTCATAGTCATGTATGTCCTCTAACCATCTCATGACACTTTCCAAACCACTTTTATCGGATGTAAAGTAAAAGCATGGATGGTTATGTAAAACGTCTAAAGTTTCTAAAGAGTCTCTCAAAGTCCAGTCTACTTGGTATTGAAAATCCCATGTGTTATAGAACGGCGGGTCCACTATAAAGAAAACATTTTCCTTGTCTTTATATTTTTCATACAACTCTGTCCAATGACATCTCACAAACTCTATACCCTCAATATATTTTTCTATGTTCTCTTTGAAAACATTTGTATAGTTAAGATATAAAACTTTTGACATAAGTGTTTCAATGTCATGAACTCTTATAGCACCACTATATAATAGTCTAGCAGATATACTATCCCAGTCAATATACTCTGCCTTTTTCAAAACCTCTCTGACAGTATTTTTCTTATCTAATGGTATACGTTCCATCTTACCTATAGGTATCTTTTCTTTTAACGCTTTCAATATATTGTTTGTGTCTGGTATATGTTTGAGACGGTTCATATAGTTGTCGAAGTCATTGCATATAATCTTTGAGTCAGGAAATATTGTATGGCACAAATGAGATATATAGAAACTTCCACCGAACAAGTCTACAAATGTTAGACCATTCGGTAGTTTCTTAAGTTCTCTCAATAGAATATCTTTACATCTACTCTTATTTCCAAAGAAGGGTAACGGTGGTTTTGTAAAATTCATTTTATATACAATAAAAATGTTTTTTCCCTGAAAAGCTACAGAAAAGTGACGGGGGGCTAGAGGGCACGAAGTGCCTGGAAGCCCCACTACCTTTTTTTTTTTTTTTTTTTTTTTTATTGTTACAATCAAAATTTTGAAGAATTGCTATTCGTTTCACGAAATATCAAATATAAATGATCAAAGTCATACATATCCTTTTCTATTGATTTTCATGCATTATCTAATATATAAATAGGCAAAAGTAAAAGTATTAAGGGAAATTTGATCAAATGATCCAGAAAATAATGAGGCAATATATAGGTAAAACTCCATTATTATAGTCTCCTATTGATAGACATTAATAATTGAAACAAATTTAGCTTAGATATGTTGGTGAGAGTTGATACACTTCTATTTGAATAAATTCTGCTTTTTTCTACGAGTAACTCATTTGAATAATCACTTTATTAAACATATAATTTATTGTGCAGGAAAATAAACAACAACCTAGCTAACCAAATGCAAATGACATGGGATATTTTGGTATTGCCTTTTTTTATAGCTTCAACATTACATTTGTTGTCATGACATTTCATATATTTAGAATTAATCAAATTTCATAAATTCAATCCGAAATCTTTGAGATCAGTGTTTTCCACAAATTTTGCACATAATTTTTATCTTCTATTGAATTTTAAAGATATTTTTAATTGTAGAATTCACATATATATTTAAATTTTTTGATGTCTGATCAAAACATTCAACAAAATAAATATGGCGATTTACGCAGTATCTACAAATACCACATCGATGCATACACTGCATTGTATTAGCTTAAAACGAAAAAAAGAAGAAGATTTAAACTCGATTTACCAAATGATTAAGACAGAAATGATTGAATCAAAGAAACATCTTCCTCAAAACATTATCAGAGATATTTTAGATATGATCCCATATAATAATCGCTATACAAAGTCGTATTTAACTCTTGCCAAACTCATCTCTGATGAATATCAAGTCAAAGATATTAGCAATGTTAACCCTATTTCAAACTTCTTGTTTTACAAAGAGTATGGAATTAAATTAAACAAGTCAACTAATTTTGCAAAATTTAATCCAGGAAATGTCGATATTCAAGCAGAAAATACAATTCACAAAGCTATTATGTATAATGAAAAAGAAAAATTTATTTCATTCACAGAAAGAGAAGGATTTGATAAAGATCAAATTCTTATTAGCAAATTATATCCACATCTCTATTTTTCTGAAGGATATACATTGCTTGAATTATGCTGTTACTATGGAGCAGTTGATTGTTTCAAATTCTTAAGAACAAAATTTGACTCAAAAATAACTGAAATATGTCTTGTTTTTTCATTTTTAGGAGGAAATCCAGAGATCATGAGTGAATGTTTGAAATATCAAAAACCAAATGAATATTGCATGGAATATGCAATTATTTCACACAACATTGATTTTGTTGCATTCTTGATGAATGAATATAATGAAAAGATCAATTTACAAGTTTGCGGAATACACAAAAATCTTGAAGCATTTTTAGTTTATTTCGATCAAACACATGCATCCAACGAATGTTTTATTTATTCTGCAATGTTCAATGTTCCTTCACTTGCTGAATATTTTCTTTCTCATGGTGGAAATATCAATGAAAAAGATGAATTTGAACATACTGCTCTTCATCATGCTGTACGCAATAATAATACCGAAATGCTCGAGTTTCTTATTTCACATGGTGCAAACATCTCCGAAAGAGATACTGATCTGGGAACTGCTCTTCATAGTGCATCAGAAAAGAATAGTAAGGAAATAGCCGAACTTCTTATTTCGCATGGTGCTAATATCAATGAAAAAGATAATAAAGGAAAAACCCCTCTTCATTGCGCAGCATGTAATAATTGTCCCAAAGAAACAGCCGAATTTCTTATTTCTCATGGTGCAAACATCAATGAAAAAGATGGACAAGGAAAAATCGCTCTTCATTATGCAGCATTGGAAAACAATAATGAAACAACTGAACTTCTTATTTCACATGGCGCAAATATCAATGAAAAAGATAATAATGGGGAAACCGCTCTTCATTATACAGCAGAATACAATTGTTATGAAACAGCTGAACTTCTTATTTCGCACGATGCGAATATCAATGAAAAAGACAAATATGAAAGAACCGCTCTTCATCATGCAATATTGAAAAACAATAAAGAAACATACAATCTTCTTATTTCACACGGTGCAAATGTCAATGAAAAAAATAAATATGGAAAAACCGCTCTTCACTATGCAACAGAAAACAATTTCAAAGAAACAGCTGAACATCTTATTTCGCATGGCGCGAATATCAATGAAAAAGATAAATACGGACAAACATCTCTTCATTATGCAGCAACGAAAAACAGTAAAGAAACAGCTGAACTCCTTATTTCCCACGGTGCGAATATCAACGTGAAAAATGGAGAAGGAAAAACCGCTCTTCATTATGCAGCATTGAAAAACAATAAAGAAACAGCAGAACTCTTTATTTCTCACGGAGCGAATATCAACGAAAAAGATAATAATGGAAAAACCGCTCTTCATTATGCAGCCTCGGAAAACAGTAAAGAAACAGCTGAACTCCTTATTTCTCACGGTGCGAATATCAACGAGAAAGATGGAGAGGGAAAAACCGCTCTTAATTATGCAGTTGATAAGAATCGTAAAGAAATGGAAGAATTTCTTATTTCACACGGTGCAATAAAATATTCTTCCTTCAACAGATTCATCTCTTCTTTTTTGGGAAAGAATTAAAAAAAATAAATAAATAAATATTTTTTTTACAATTGTACATTTTTTTCTATGATCTAGAGTAGCAATTGGTAGATAGACTATGAGAAGTATATATCAAAAAATTCTGACCTCAGTATGGACAAGACCCGCAATATTCTACTTATCATCAAATCGATCTTAATCAATCGAATTACTTTTGTAAAACAGCAATTGACTATTCAATACAAAACAACTGCAAAGAAAGATTAAAATTTTCACGTCAAAAGTTAATTTGACAAATAATGAATTATAAAATAATTCAAATATAAAACTTTTAATGCACATTTATTGAAAGAAAAACAATCAATCACAGTTAAACCCAATATGTAAGATTATATGACGTATTGTAAACAGAGAAAATAAAAAACATAATAGCATATATTAACAATGAAATGCAAAAAAAGTTGTCTTCTGCTAAGTTTATCAACTACAAATCAATTGATGACAAGAAAGTATATATATTCGTATGAATGCAATTTATATTCCAAAGAAAGATAATCAAATATAGTTGATATGAAGTCACTTTTCATGTAAAAGGTTATTTAAAAAACCTTACCTGATAGATATATATGGTGCCACTTGCGATGGGCTTACATGCATATTTAATAGCAAAAATGTAGTTTACTCGAAAAAACAAGTTAATCATGGCAGATGGTATTTCGAAGTCCATCATAATGGCGGTCATTTCATGTTCACAGCAGGCTCTGCCATTCCTGGTAATTTCGAAGGTATCTCATACTTCTCTTACAAATACTATTATAATAACTCAGGCGATGGGGTAATTTTTTATCCGCCGTACATCTACTCATCTGAAGTCGCCGAATATGGATCTATGAATGCCACATCTTTTAAAGAGAATCAAACGTATGGAATTGGAATTGATATAGATTCAAATTTGTTTTTTGTCCAATCTGCCAAAGAAATCCGAAGATATCAGTTCAATGTTCTTAAAAACCAACCTTATAAATGGAATGCTTATGTAAGTGAAGCCCAACCAAGAACTTACCCTTATCAAGATAATATTACATTGAATTTTGGCTTAAGTCCATTTGAACTACCAGTACCTTTTGGTTTTCAACCATACAGTTCGAATTTTATCGATTATTGTAAAACTCTCAAATCTTGCATGAATTTACCAGTTTCTCATGCATTTCTATACATTATCATAACAATGTAAATAATTTTATGTACAGATAATAAATATTTTTCTAATAAATCAATATATACAGATTAAATTTTCTCATATGCTATAATGAAAACGTTAAAGATGCACAGAGAATCATAAAGAAACATCAGAACTTCTTATTTCACGCGGTGCATATAAAAATGAAAAAGATAAAGAATTAAATAGAGATGATTGATTTTTTATTTCATAAGGTGTGATAAAGCATTCTTCCTTCAGAAGATTCTTTAGCTAAGTTTTTAATATTGATTCTTTTCGTGAACGCGCTTTTTTATACGATTGTTGCTTTTTTCTATAATACAGAGTAGGAAAGTTACTCAATATACCACTTTCTCATCAAGTTGAGATCTCATGTATCCAGTAGGTCAAGAAAGAAGTTCTAACATGGAAAACTGACATTTTTTTTGTTTTCTGGCACAGCCACTTTGGATTCTATTGCTACTCTTTCCAAGAAAAAAAAGGAGATACTGACACACCAAACGCGCTTAATGAATTGTTTCTTTTCAACATTTTTTGAATGAAAATATTCAAGCATTATAATTTTTTTTTAAAAAAATTGAATTGATTTTGTGGTTTGAAATCCAAATAATATAAAATATCCATATACACCAATAGAAGTAAAATTTCTTCCAGAAATTCCATTTTGGCAAAATTTTATTTCAATTTTCAGTTTGATAAGAAGTTCAAATTTCCTATCACTTCAGGAATTAATTTCGGTATTCAGATCAATCACAGAAATTCTATAGAAAAATTCAAAAATTACAAAAACGACTTTTATTAAATTATAAATTACAAAAACGACTTTTATTAAATTATAATTAAATAAATGGATAACTGGGGAGCAGTTTTAGTATCATTTGGAGTGTTAATTGGTATTGGTCTTCTATGCGTGTGTATTGTACTTACTTGTGAACATTGTGAAAGGTCATCGTATGAACCTAGCAGAAGAAGATACTCATCATCTTCATCAGGAATTTCTGTAGAAACTGCAGCACAGATTTTAGCAGTGCAGCATTATCAAAAACAGCAAGCTAAAGATATTATAATGATGACAAAGGAATTAATTGATCTTCAAGATACTTTAAACTCCAAAGAGTTACAAGCTGTATTGAATGTTCTGTTTGTTTTAATACAGCATTTAGAAGAGTTACAAAGAACTGTGGATGGACTTAGACTTCTTGATGCAGTTAGAAATTTTTTGGTTGAAATTCACCAAGAAGTGAAGAAAGCATTAAGTGTAAGGAGAAGGATAAGCGTTGCAATTATTGAAAGAAATGGAAACCAAATTAGAGGTATTTTGGCCCAAATCGAAGCATAAAATTTTAGGAATAAAAAAGTCGTATTTTTTTGAAAACGGATTATAACATTAAAAATCGATTATTTTTGGTAATTTTCATCTATCAAATGATAATATTTGAGTATGAAAATAAATGCATTAAATTGACAAGATTTTTTGCTAATCACTCCAAATCAATTGATTCTACGAATATAGATCAAAGATCATACGTCGTTAATGTTATATACGAAAACGATAAAAACAGTTTGACAGAAAAGTGACAACTTTACGTGTCAAAAATATAAAAAGTGATATTTTATTCATCATTATCTTCTTCATAATTTATTTCATATTCTTCTTCATATCCACCTTCATATTCTTCACTTTGTCCCTCCTTCTCTTTTTTACCATCTTTATTATCAATAAGAAAATAATTTGAATAAGTTTCAATATAGATTGATCAATTTATGAATGGGAATCCAAAATTAGAACAGCCGAATTGGTATATTGATAACAAATGATATTATGTTATTAATAAGGTATAAATGTTTTGAATGTAATTCAAATTAATTTTGAATATGAAATTGAATAAGATTGAAAAATTAAATATATAGAATTTTGAATGAGTTTCCGTTGAAATGAATGTTATGGAAATGTAGAAAATATTAGCCTTTGGATGAATTGGAGGGTGAGAGATATTATTTCATACAATACTACTCTCACCCTCCAATTCCCAGCCAAAATGGCTAAAAATTGCCCGCAATGTGAACAATTGCGGGCAATTTTTAGCCATTTTGGCTTGGAACTAGAGCCTGCGAGGTACATGGATAGTATCAGTACCTCACAGGCTCTAGTTCTCTATATGGCGCCGAGAAATTTTGGTGAAATGTGGTCGCATTTCACCAAAATTTTTTCGGCGCCATAGGATGAATTGGAGGGTGAGAGATATTATTTCATACAATACTACTCTCACCCTCCAATTCCCAGCCAAAATGGCTAAAAATTGCCCGCAATGTGAACAATTGCGGGCAATTTTTAGCCATTTTGGCTTGGAACTAGAGCCTGCGAGGTACATGGATAGTATCAGTACCTCACAGGCTCTAGTTCTCTATATGGCGCCGAGAAATTTTGGTGAAATGTGGTCGCATTTCACCAAAATTTTTTCGGCGCCATAGGATGAATTGGAGGGTGAGAGATATTATTTCATACAATACTACTCTCACCCTCAATTTTAATTACTTAAACTCATTCTATTTTTTTGACATGTAAATGTCACTTTTACTGAGATCTGACACAATGTCAGATCTCTTTTTTTCGTATATAAGAGTTAATGATCGTATTTTTTGTTTTCGAAAAGGTACTTTTAATGAGCCAAAGATTGAAAAATTTTAATTTTTCTGGTTTCTAGCAAGAATCAATATAGAGTTCATATTCAAAAAGTGAAGCTACTATGACGTGGAAAAAATATCAAAGTTCTCCACTTAAATTCTATAAATAATTTATTGTTAACAAGATTATCATTAAACAATAAATATCTTATATAGAAACACTAATATTTTGCACCATATGATCTAAGAACTTCGGCTGTTTCTTTACTTTTATTACGTTCTGCATAATGAAGAGCAGTTTCTCCATATATATCTTTTTCATCGATATTTGCACCATGTGATATAAGAAGTCCGGCTATTTCTTTAAAATTATTACATGCTGCACAATGAAGAGTAGTTTCTCCATATATATCTTTTTCATCGATATTTGCACCATGTGATATAAGAAGTTCGGCTGTTTCTTTAAAATTATTACTTGCTGCACAATGAAGAGCAGTCTTTTCATCTATATCTTTTTCATTGATATTTATACCATGCGAAATAAGGAGTTCGGTTGTTTCTTTACTGTTATTTAATGCTGCATAATGAAGAGCGGTTTTTCCATATTTCTCTTTTTCATTGATATTTATACCATGCGAAATAAGGAGTTCGGTTGTTTCTTTACTGTTATTTAATGCTGCAATATGAAGAGCGGTTTTTCTATCATTATCTTTTTCATTGATATTTATACCATGCGAAATAAGGAGTTCGGCTGTTTCTTTACTGTTATTTTCTGCTGCAATATGAAGAGCAGTTTTTCCATATTTATCTTTTTCATTGACGTTTATATTATGTGAAAGGAAGTATTCGTGTAAGGATGGAATATTGTACCACGTTGAATTAATAAAGCATTTGTTAAAATCATTAGTTTGATCGAAATAAACTAAAAATGATTCAAGATTATTATACATCCCGCAATAATCTAAATCGATCTCTAAATCGTATTCGTTCATCAAGAATGTAACAAAATCAATGTTGTGTGAAATAATTGCATATTGCATGCATTCATCATCTGGTTTATGATATTTCAAGCATTCACTCATGATCTCCTGATTTCCACCTAAAAATGAAAATCTAAGACATGTTTTAGTTATTTCTGAGCTGAATTTCGTTCTTAATAACTTGAAACAATCAACTGCACCGTGGTAACAGCATAATTCAAGTAATGAATATTCACTATTATATGGATATAAACTGCTTTTTAGTCTTTGATCTTTATCGAATCCATCTCTTTCTGTGAATGAAATGAATGATTCTAAGTCATTATACATAATTGCTCTGTAAATTGTATTTTCTTTATGAATTTGGAGGTTTTCTGATTTAATTTTTTCGAAATCATCAGATTTGTTTAATTTAATTCCATGTTCTTTATAAAATAAGTATCCCACAGTTAATGGAACTCTAATTTCCTCGTTTACTTGATAATTATCATATATGAGTTTGGCGAGAGATAAATAAGCTTTTGTATAACGATTATTATACGGAATGATACGTAAAATGTCACTTACAATAATATAAAGAAGACGTTTCTTTGAATCAATCAATTCTGTTTTGATCATTTTGTATATCTTGTTCATTTCTTCTTCATTTTCAGTTTTCAGCTTATAAAATGCATTATATGAATCGATGTAGCATTTATATATACTTCTCAATTCACTGTATTTACTTTGGTGAATATCTTGATCAGACATGAAAAATTTTAAAATAGTTTAGTCGGTTTTTGCATTTTTAAAATGTTAGTCACCTTTCTCCTTCCAAAGTGAAAAAAAATTGTTTAAAATATAAAAAGAATTTTTATTGGCATAGGCGACAAACAAGGATTTATAAATAAATAATGGGGCTTTGAGTATTGATCTGAATTGAATCAGATAATTAGCCGTAAAAAATCTTCTAATAACGATTTCTCATGCATGAAAGATGGCTATGAGTGGCGTTAATGAGGGCGTTTGATAATTGGAGTTGGACATAAAATTTGGAGATCTTAATTTTTGAGAATTTTGGTGCGATCTTACTGGTACAAGCAAGAGTATGGAAGGAGATTGAACTGAGAAAAAAACTAGAGCATGCAAAAGAATCATGCTACAGCTTAGTTGAATGTCATTTATGCAAATAAAAATATCTTTTTCAAATTTCAAACAAATTTTTGCCACTTTTTGAAAGAAGATAAGGTAACAAACATTTTAAAATGCAAAACCTAGACTTAACCTATGCCGAAATGTGAGCTCACCGTTACGGTTTTTTCTTTTTTTTGGGGCTCGCAAGCTCGCCCCCAAAGAAAAAACCGTAACGGTGACTAACATTTAGGAAAAATTTTCGACCAAATTTTTATAACCAGCATTATAATTTTTTTTAAAGACACATTTCACTGTATTTATTTGGGTGAGTGTCTTGGTCGGACATTAATAATTTTTTTATAAGGACACATTGATGGAAAATTTTTATCTGTGGAAAATTTTTATATGTTTGTATATATGAAATAACACAAGCATATCTTGTTATTTTAAATTCTATTGAGATGAATAAAGTTTGGTGATCTATAGTGTGAAGTCACAAACTTACAACATTTCTATATGATAAAAAATCAAATTTGATTTAATATAATTTCGAGCCTCAGGTGGCTATGCTTGCTCTTCAGGCAAGAATGCCACCTTCGGCAAAAAATATATAAATTGATTACATGATATGAATTCATTCAAACTCTCTTAAGTTTATGGCTTTCCGGAAAGCCACATTTGATGAATTCCGATTCTCAATGTAATTCAATAACCAAACAATAAGTTTTTCTGTGAATAAATAATCAATTATTTGAAAAATTGAATTTTTTCTTATTTGGTTGGCGCTTTGCGCTAACCAAATAGCGAATAATACTAATATATGTTTACTTAAAATATGAATAAAATTGAATTTAATAAAATAACAAACAAAAGAAGTTTATTCAGGTTCATTAGACAACAAATCAAGCAAAGTGTTGATATTATCTGTTTCTTCCATATCATCTAATATATCTATGACATCATCCTTAATTTCGTTAAGAGCAGTCATGATTCCAACGTCGTAAAGTAAATTTCCTCGAATCCGGCTTTCAATCTTTAACAAAAAGCGAACATATATATCCACGGAATCTTTATCCGAGGAAGATGATATTTGTTCTGGCAATTCCGAAATAACTTTTGAAAAATCAACTTCAGGCATTTCAGAAAGCTCCAAATGCAGCATAACTTCAATGAAATACTCATAAAAAGCATTTTTCGCTTGGAAAGGAAGTTCATCCAAAATGGAAAATGAGTTTATTATCACTTCCTTATGGTTATATTCACGAATTGTTGTGGGGAAGTGGCTAACAAGCATTTCTAGACCGTAATAAGCTTGTCTAAGTGTGTTTTCATCATGATGTTGCTGAATAATTTCAACAATCAGGTTTCCAACATTTGCTGGGCGGAGAAACTTACTGTTGAACGCTTCTGGGACATTTTTGAGCAAAACTGAAATGACTTTTAAGCAAACAATTGGACATTCTTCGCATGAAATTTTAATCCAATTTGAAATTCGTTTTGGTTCAACATTTGACTTGTCTATGTAGCCTTTAATAATTAACTGATAAAGAATATTACCTGTATAATATGTTTCATACCCTAATTTCAGATCCAACCAAATTCTTAGCGCATTATGTATTTCATTAATGACAATTTGTATGTCATTTGCAATGGCAATGTAATGCGCAATAAATGTCTGTAAGTATTGTGCATGTTCGAAGTCATAAGATTGAAGATATCTTTGAACAACTGTTTTCGCGATTTCTGGACCTATTAAGTATCCATAAACAGGATTTATTAGTATGTTAATGTATGAAATTATAATTTGCGTTTCTACACTGTTTATTGAACTTAATTTTTGATTTTGAGGTCTTCTTAATGAAAAAAATGCTCTGTGAGCATTTGTAATGAAATACTGAGACACATTAAGATAGTTTCCTGCCAGTAAATCACTGATATACGATGAATGACTTCGAGTTATGTCAACTGCAATGGAAAAGCATGCTTGAGTAAGTTCTTTGTTAACAGATTTACGCTCCATGAGTTCTGTAAGCAGGAAATTGATCAAATTAGGGATTTCAAACTCTTGAAATTCAGGTAAATTTGGTAAAACATGATTTGCGATAATTTGATGTATATTACAAAGATAATCTTTAGCCGGATTTTCATATTCTGGATCTTTTAAATCAGTATCATGAAGAGCATCAATAAATCGACAAATTTGCGAAAAATTTTCAGGATCTTCCCAATATGAATCGATTTCTGGCTCATTTTGCATCTTAATATAATTGCCTAATTCGTTTCCTTCGTTAAATTCTTTAATATAATCATCTTCTTTATATGAATCAATCATTTTGTCACTTTTTGATTTTTTCCAAACAATTTTTCACTGATTTGATGTGCCTTATTCACTTATTTCCAAAACCTTCGATAGTTTTATGATTTTTATGTGATTTAAATATAATGTCAATAAGAATTCACTTCCAGATGCATATGTATTTGATTTTTTTTGATTGGTTAGAAAAATCATACAAATATATAATCGTCAGCTCCTACGACTGAGCTTGGAACTTCCAGATGAACCATGTATTTTTCCTCTATCGTGCTATGTGTTATCCTTGCAAACATATATTTTGTATTTTTGTTTATATTGGAGATGAATCATCGAGAAATATTTATACATAAGCAGGCAATGATTTTTATATATTATATTAGAAAATAATGGCATATTCTGGATTTTGGAATTTTAAAAAACCCGCAACGAATTATGACGAACCACAATTCAGGGCTTATATGCACTAAGCTATTGCATTATCATATTTCCAGAGCTTCCGTGTAAAAATCAAATCAACAAAATTTTAAATAGCTTTTTATCGTTTTTTTTCCTTGATAAAAAAGAAATGAGTACTTTTTCGCCAGATGTGGTCAACACATTTGACGATTATGATACTCAGGCTGATGGTGCACCACCTGATATACTCAGGGCTGAAACCGCAGAGAAATCTTACTTCGATTTGAAGCAAGAATTAATTGTTTCTGATCATAAGACTCTCAGAGACATCGCTGCTTCTACGATTCAGAATCAATGGCGAATATGGAAAGTTCATCAGCATTTTCGAAAGTTTCTTTTCAATTTTAGAAAATTAAGACTAAAAAGAGAGCGTCCAATCTTCAATTTACTCCTTTTAAACTCATATGTAGGTGGAGAAAAACGCAGACAATACTATGAAGAGACAAACGAGAACAAAATCACGTGGAGAGATCTTTATATCAGTGTTAAAAAGTCATCTTTCGAACTTTTCACAGCAACAAACTTAATGTTCATTCCTTCAACGGAAAACGACCAAATACTGATAAAATTCACAAGGCAATGCGCTAAACCATTACTTTCAAAAGTATTTACTGAGTGGAGGATCCTTAAACAGCGAAGCAAATACGAGAAAAAGATAACTAGATACGATTCTCTTTGCGTCCGTAAGTTCGGTTCTTTATATACTACATTCGAAGTTTGGTACAAATATACGTTATTAAAGAAGAAGCAATATACAACTTCGAATTTCCCGCAGTGGGAAAATATCATCAAGAGAAAGAAGAATCGAGCTCAAGTTTACGAAGATGCCCTTCAAATTTTCAAAAAAACATTAAAAAGAAGAGTAATTACATCATTATCCAACAAAATGGTTAACAGACGCATCCAAGACGATATAGTTAAGGAAGCCGATGTATTTAGAGACAGACAAATCCTTAAACTCGGAAATGCAGCTTGGACAAAATTTATGGACCAGAAGAAGTCGAAAATGAGGCTTGAAAGAAGTGTAATTTTTAATTGGTGGACATTAGTACAAAGCAAGAAGTATAATAAGATGCTTTTCAAGACTTTTGTCGATCGATCATCTTATCTCAAGAAAAGAACATCATTTAACGCATTGATGAAGAATGTCAAAATAGAAAAAGCGATAGAGATCAATGGCAACATGAAATTGGCAAATAACATGTCATTATCGTTATATTTAGCTTTTACTCTCTTGAAGAAGCCAGACAATGCCGCATTAGCTCTTTCCTTCCATGAATGGCGCAGATTTGTTCGCGGAAGACGTTTCTGGGTCCATTTTATTTTTGCAGATATCAGAGCTTCGCAATACGACCCATTAAAGAAGAAAGCGTTTGAGATTCTTCGCAAGGCCAAGCAGAGGACAATTATCAACCAATCCTTCAATTCAAAAGCCTTCCAAATGGAGTCGATGCAGATATACGAAACTGTCATGACAAAAAACGATCCAAGAGGCGAATTCTATTTATTATCATACGATAAAGAGATAGAGGATGAACTCGCACAGACAAAAACTCCTCTACAACAAGTAGAAGTCTTCACAAAAGCTTGGCAAAAAATGAAAAGTGATCCGTCACTTTTTAAGAGAATTATATTATTGTACAAAGCTAAGATGGAGTCACAGAAGAACACGGAGAGTATTCCTGAACGTACTAAACGGTTGTATATGACTTCCATGAACAATTTATCGATGATGGGATATTTAAGTGAAGAAAAATGGAGACAAATCATCAAATTACAGAATGAAAACCAAATTCGAATGTTCCGGAATAGACAGATGTTCATGCACAATGATAACATCATTATGTTGTCACATGACTCCCATAACGAAGCAAAAGAATTTGAAAAGAAATCAACTTTTTTCAAAACTTTACAAAAACCGTACAAAATTCAAGAAAATTTATTGAAAAAAGTTGAAGAAATTTTACCACTTTCCAGCATCAAACCTGCTGACAATGTTCCTGAATTCGTTCTTGTGCAAGGTGTCAGATCTGTTCCTTATTCATTTAAGTCACAACTCAAGCAAATAAGGAAACAAATCGCTGATGACAGATTGAAAATGTCTGCTGCAAATAAAAGTGACAAAAAACATCTGAAAATTCTGAACCAGCAGACATCGAACGAGGCAAGAAGGAGATCAACAGTTTCCAATATCCATAACGAGTCATTTAATACAAAGACGATAGAAAGTGAAGTGGAAATCCGACCACAAACCGGAATCAACCAAAGATTGAATGGAATCTTTCCTCCTTTGTACAAAAAAGGCACTCCTTCTTTGAATGTACAGCTCGTTAAGTTCTCCAACGATTTCGAATACAATGTTGAAGAGAAAGGAGACTCCGATGATGAAAACATTCCTTTGAACGCTTTGGAAATGTCTCAAGCAGCCAAAGAAATGTTAAGTGAAGCGAGATTCCAGCAATCAATGGTTTTCGGATCAAGTTTCGCGAGTTTGTTGTCTTCCAGTGCAAAAATTTCGAGATTTTCTTTTCAAAATTTGCCTCCTTTCGAAGACAAAGATGAATACAAAGAAGAACAAACAATTGACGAGGAAATCGACGAAGAAAGTGATGATTTACTTGGTTTGTCACAAAGAACAGGACGTCAAACAGGTCGTAAGTCTTCTTTGAAGGAAGAAGTCGAAGAAAACAATGAGGAAGAAGAATTCCAAACAATGAAAACTCTTTCGGAATTGGATGACCCTGAAGACACAATGAAAACAAAAAAATACCAAGATTTCCTCTCAATTTTGTTTGGCAAAACCGTTTCTGCCAACCAATTCATGAAATTAAACACATTGAGAAAGAGAATCAAAGATGAAATAACTTCTAGAAGGGCAAACGCAGCAATTGGACTCGATACTGTTGGAAATTCTTTCGGAATTACAAATGTTTTGGGTGAATACAGATACAAAAAGAAAAAATTGAAAAAATCTAAAGCAAAAAGTGACAGAAAATCAAAAAGTAACAAAGTCTCAGATGAAGAAAAAGAAGGCGAAGAGTATGAAGTCAAGTATAATTCAAGGAAATTCATGACTAAGAAAGGAAAAGATGGTTTGAGTTCAGAAGAACAAAGTGATTATTCCGATGACGAAAACGATTCAAACAACGAGGAAATCAACGAAGATCGTGATGATTTGATGAATGAAAAGAAAGACATTGAAGAGGCACTGAGTGACAATGACGAGAACCTCAATGATGTCGACATCGACGCAGCCGAAGAAGAAAAAAATTCAGAAAAAGAAAGCGATTCTGGTTACGAATACGATGAATACGAATACCAGTACGACTATGATTACGAGTATTCAGAAGAAGAAGTTGATGGTGAGAAGAAAAGAGTTAAGAAGAAAGTTAAAAAGAATAAGAGAAAAGTTAAAATTTCTCATGGTAAAAATTCAATGAAATTTTCTGACACAAAAAGTGCCACAAAAAGTGAAAGTCAATCCAGTTCTATCACTCATCCTTCTTCAAATGTTAATGAAGGAACAACGAAGCGCATCAGGAAGAAGAAGTTGAAAGACCACGCGTTGAAAGAAGTCAATAAAATTGTTTTCAAAATGCTCGAAAATTCAATTCTCGAAAGATTCGGAACAGAAGAAGGTCCTTTGGTCGAAGTTGATCCTAACTACGTCCCAGAACTCGATCTCCCTGAGAAGAAGATTGACGATGCTCCTGTTTTCGTAACAACAAACATCACGAAGCCGAAAGTCCAAAAGAAACATGAAATATTCAAAGCGAAAACATTTAAGAAACCAGCGAGAATTGTTATTCCTGACAGAAAAGAGATGGACCAAACTGTTTATAACGCTATCCTTGAAGGCGACAAATTCACAACAGTCACTTATAACAACGGAACAAATACTGTTTCTAAAAGACCAACTACAACAGTTGATTCCAATCGTTTTATGGCGAATCATCATTATCAACCTGTTTACAGATTTTCTGCTGGTTTCCAGAACAGAGGATTGCACTTTGAAGATGAAGAAAAAGTCGTTTCATTCGGAGGAGGCGATAAAAGACACATTAGTTCAAACAATGTCGGTTTCATGCAAGTCAGAATCAATAACATGAAAAGAAAAGGTCTGACAAAACCGATAACCGCTTCACCTCAACCGAAAACGATTCCTGAACTTCGTGCAACGTCAAGTCAATCTAATTCTCGTCAGAACAAGACCGTTAAAGACGACGGACTTCAGATTTTGGAGAGAAAGACAATGACTTTCGTCCAAACTTTGAGTTCTTACACAAATGACCATGAATTCAATCTTTTTGTCAGAAACGTGACAGTTTTGCCAAAAATGATGAAACCTGTTATTGATCCGAACATATCTGTACAATTTGATTCAGTCATGGCTTCATATTGTGGCTGCAAACCAATGGATAACAATTCTTTGGAGATGTTCAAAACTGTTGACCAAGCAACAGCTTTATCAGAGTTTGTTCAAAAACTAATTATTCTTTTGACAACAAAAAAGGCTTCTCCACAAGATTGTAGTCGTGCATCAATAAAGCTGTTTAAGACACAGCCACAACACATTTTGATTCTCCAAAGATGTGTGAATTTGGAGGCAAATGATAGAAAACAAGGCCAAGAAAGAATGAAGAGAATGAGGAATGAAAACAGCACACAAAACAACGGCCAATGGATCATGAAACAGAGAAAGACAGTTACATTCGCTGATGTAGGTTGGGTTCGATCTTTCGAGTATAGATTTGTTAGTTTGCAATTCGGAGATGATAACTCTGCAATCATTGCTCCAATTGATCAGATGATTGAAACAAGAGGAACAGGAACTCCACCTTCTTCAAGACCTCCTTCAATTATTAACAAGAAACCACAGAAAGAAGATAAACAGAAGACACAACAAAATGTCAAAGAAATCTTGCAGAAATTCAGTGAATGTAAAAATGACAAAGAAATGGAAAGTGTTCTTGGAAACTTCGATTTGGATGAACTTGTTTCTGTCGCTCGTTACATCGCTTCAGATGAAGAAATGGAATCTTTATTATCAAAATAATCATTTTTATTTATTTTTTATTATTGTTTTTTTGTTTATATTTTTTATAGAATTAAAATCTTTTTATGTTTGTTTTTTATGTAATTTACATCTATGTTTTTTTATTAGTATTCAATTCAGATGCCTCGATATTTAGATCATTAATGAATCAACTGTTTTTGTGATATGCTTGGAAACTGACCAAAGATTGATTGAAATTAAGAGTTTTCGATTTTTGAGCATTTTTTGACAAGCATGATTGAAATTGTAAGGCGGGAAAACAATTTCATGATAATTTTGACATTGATTTCCCATATAGAAGCAAAGTCAACCATTTCAATAACGATGGTTACTTTGGACAATTTCATTTTGTTAATCCATACTATATATGTTAAGTTTGAAGAGATATTAGATAGTCTTTTACATTACCAAATGCAACCAAGAGGGGCGTTTCTCCATTTATATTCATTGTTTCTTTATTAGCTCCAGCAGAGATTAGACATTGAACTATTTCAAGATGGCCATATTTTGAAGCACATATAAGTGGAGTGTTTCCCGAATTATCTTTTGTTTCTTTATCAGCTCCAACAGAAATAAAATACTGAATAACTGCTCAACGATTATTATAGGCTGCATAAATGAGTGAAGTAGATTCATTCTTTGCTTTAATATTGGCTCCAACAGAGATTAAGTATTTACCAAATTCAAGATTACCATAGCTAGCTGCAAAAATGAGAGGAGTCTATCCATAATTATTTGTTTAGGATATCTTCTATCCTAAAAATATAAAACAAATTACCATCATTAATATAATTGGTGATATGGGCCATCATGTATTCAAAATCCACAAAAATTTCCTGATACATTGATTAAAAATAAAAAATTAAGGCTAAAAATTACAACATATTATTCCAAATTTTAAGGGTGCACTTACCACTTTCTGACATTCGCTCAAAAATCGGAATACAGGTGAGAAGAATATTAGAAAATAAAACCTTAAACAGGCAATTTGAGAGTGTGTCAGAAAATGGTAAGTGCACACTTAATATTTACAATATCAGAGAAACAAAAACAAAAATTTGCTTTATAGAGAAGTTTCCATTGTTGTTGGAAGCAATGAATATTCGATTATATTATATTACATTAACTAAACTTTATCATTTCTAAAACTATTTATAGTATTTTCATAGTTGAATCTAAATTTAATTCATTTTTATTGTTTATAATATCATAGAAATAAAAACAGAAATTTGAGTGATAGAGAAGTGTCCATAGTTGTTCGCAATAACACTTCTGCAGTCGGAAACACAGTCTTCTTTCAATGAGATAGATTTGACACCTTTAGAGAGGAAAAGACTTTTAAGTTCGTTAGGAATGCTGAATGTGCCACACTTTTCAAGATTAGGACAGTCGCTGAATGCATCAGTGCCGATGTTCTCGATGCTAGGTGAACTAACAAAAATGAAGTTAAGGTTCTTGCAGCCCATGAATGCACCCGAGCCAATAGTGTTGATGTAGTTGCCGTTGAACAGGACACGAACAAGCTTATCACACTTGAAGAATGATTTAGGATTGATGTATTTCATCATCATAGGAACAACAAATGTTCGGATGTCGCTCGATGGAAGGAATGTGTAAAGCTTGGTCTGGTCGAATGTCATAAGAGCACCGTTACCAAATAGAAGTTTCCCTTCGTCCGGGAACAGTGTGATCTTCTTAAGAAGTGGACACCCAACAAAACAACCACTGCGAACTTCTGATAAGCTGCTGTTAACTGAGATGCTGAACTTAGAAAGAAGTTCATTGTTGGAAAAACAGAACTCTGAGATGACACTGATCGACTTAGGAAGCAGGATTTCGTCGATGTTGCAGCTCTCAAATGCACGCTGGCCAATCAGTTCGACACCTTCACTAAGTGTGACACTAGACAAGTCGGGTGATGACAAACAGCAACCATCAGGAATAGAACGGCATGAGGTAGAAAATGATGTCAACGATGTCTCTTCGAATGCTGAGATATCGATAGAGGTAACGGTGGATGGAAGAATGGCGGTGCGTAAGGAACTCTGGTAAAATGATTTGGTACCAATGCTGACAAGTTGCGTGTTTTGGAGACCAATGTCGCGGATGGATTTGCATCCACAAAATGCATAGCTTCCGATGGTACGAATCGATGGAGGCAGGGTGAGAACACTAAGACTGTTGCATTTCTGGAAACAATTGGATGAGATAATACTCAACTTGCAGTCTTGTGGAAATGTGACACTAATAAGAGATTTACAGTTGAGGAATGCGTTTTGTTTGATAGATTTGAGACCGGATGGAAATGAAAACGATTGGATTGTTGATTCTTGAAATGCTGAGGATTCAACATCTAATGATGGATTGGTATCAAATGACATACTCTTCAGTTGTTTATTTTGGAATGCATATGCATTGATTTTGTTGCATGTAGATGGAACATGAAGATCTTTCTTGGAATCCGAACCAAAATATTCACTCAAAACTGTCTGCTGATTAATGATAAGCATACCATCACTGGAATAACAGTACGTATTCAATGATGTATTAATGACAAGATTTTTATTAGTATTTCCAAATGCACCTGGACCAATATAATTAACATTCGGAGGAATAAGTAGATATAGCATAGCTTGATTATATTGGAAAGCTCTCTCACCAATGTAAGTCAAAGAATTTGGTAAATTAATTTCTGATAAAGAAGGGCAATCAAGAAAAGCACCGGTTTCGAGCTTAGTAATATTTTCTGTAAGTACAACTTTTTTAAGCTGTTTACAACTTTGAAAACATGCAAAAGGAATTGAGGTCATTTTACTATTACAAATAAATTGAGTGAGACCGGCACCGAAAAAGTGATTTCATCATGAAGAGTAATTGAAGGTAAAGGAGAAAACTCACATGCAGATTCACCTAGCTTTGTCACAAATGAAGGAACAACATATCCTGCAGTTAATACGGAAGATCTTCGAACTAATGTTGAGTTGTTGTCACCTGTGAATATGGAGGTTCCATCTGTTCTGAAGATTTTGTTTAATGGATGAATTTCAAATCGTGTAATCGGCGAATAGGAAAAGGCTGATCCAGAAATTGTTGTTACATTTTGAGGTATATAAAAATATGTGAGTTTAGCCTGTGCAAAAGAACGAATTCCAATAACTCTTAATTATAGATCCGTATTTTTCCCAAGTGAGCGGGGTATCTCCAATCCCAGCCCTATCGTCCTCCCAGTGTCAGTTTTCAATAGAAAATCCAAATTTTTTTTGAAAATAAAAATTTCGAGAAATTTTTCTGATTTTTTTCTTTGATTTCAATAATTCAAAATAAATTTGGGAGTAAAAAGACACTATTTAATGAAATTCATATGAGTGAATGTGGATAAATACTCTCAAAACATACAATTTATCTATTTTTTCTTTATATTATCAACTAATTAGTGATAATTTCTTTTGAATCAGATTTTTTTCATTAAAAACATAATATATAACACAACAATGATGCACACATACGTATCTACACATCAAAATATAAAGCTTGTTTTGGTCTGGGCATCCCAACCCAAAATTCTTAAAAAATTGAATAAAATTGAATACTTGGGGCTGGGATACCCATCCCAAAACCGAATTGAATTTTTTGAATTAAAGAATATATTTATGTATTTATAATATACATGTGATGTCTATAAAAAATACTAAATTCTAAAAAAAAATTCAATTTATTCAAAACGTATACTAAGTGATCACTTCATTAGTAGGATCAGCAATCCTACTAAATGGTGAGAACGCCACTAACTAAAAAGGGAGTCCTTGGAGCTCTTGATCTCTTGTCAGTAGAGTTCATAATGAGGCATGGCATCTACTGATTAGAGATCAGAGCAATCCTACCTTACCTTCAGGAGCTACAAAGCTCCTAATCGTTACGAGAGGGAGCCTTGGAGCTCCTGAAGCTCATCAGCAGAGGCTATTTACCATTTGGGCCTCTTCTGATGAAAGATGCGAAACACGTCTACGAACCAGGAGCTTCAAAGCTTCTAATCCTTACTAAAGGGAGCTTTGGAGCTCCTGAGTCTCCATCAACAGAGTCCAGATGGTAAATGTCCTTTTCTGATGAAAGATGCGAAAACACATCTCCGAACCAGGAGCTCCAAAGCTCCTAATCCTTACGAAAGGGAGCTTTGGAGCTCCTGAAACTCCTTTTACTATAAAATAGGACAGTTTTCTTCTGAGGTTCTCATCAAATCTAAGACTTCAGAAGAAAGCTGTCCTATCAATGTATACTTACACTCTCATGGACTACAAGTGTACAATTTTAAGGCAGAGATTATCCGAGGCCTCTCATCAAATGAGGGACCTCGGATAATCTCTACCTTAAGTAGTCAAATAACTTTTCTCACTATTTAGGAACAAAAGAACAAGAGTTGGAGTACTTTAAGGCAAGATTCTTCCGAAATCTCTCATCGAATGAGAGACTTCGGAAGGACCTTGCCAAATCCTTGAACTCCAATATCCTTGGAACTGAGCTAGACCAGGAGAAGTAGCATATATAGAGCACGATGGTATCTCGGAAATGCTTTATCGCCCCAAGCAAATATATTTAAGAAGTCTAACTCATATATACAAGAAGTCAGGCTGAATAGATATTGTGCATATGGTTTGCAGAACTCTCATGATATTTAAAATTCATGTTATCCCAAAAAAGGTGACACTTTGGGTGTATCGTCCATCCCAGGGATGCAAAAATCAGATCACCTTGGATCTATACTCTTAATTGCGAATTTTCAGAAATATCAACTCGAGATAATCGTGATGCAGCAGAAAATGGACCATGAAAATTTGATCGAAGCTCTAATAGACTATCAGGAAGCTGTATATAAGTTAAGCTGTTGCAAGTGTGAAAACATTGAGCTTCGAGATATAATAATTTTGGAGGAAGATTAACTGAGGTGAGTTTATAACAGTATGCAAAACAAAATTCAGGAATGGTTGTGATTTTCATACAGTTTGAAAAATCAATACTTTCAATCGAAGAGCCGTTGAATACATATGAAAAGATGGTCTGGAGTTGACTGTTTGGACCAAATGAGATGCTTTTGATGGTGGTCAAACAGTTTGCAAAAGAACTCTTCAGTGAACTAGATCCACCGCTGATAGTGACACATGAGGACAAAATAACATAATTGTCTGGAATTCGGTCTGGTGTTTTGATGAGTGTTGTGAAGTCGTCGTTAAATTCAACTCCATAATCATCAAATCGATTACAAAAAGAGAGTTTGAGAAGAAATAAAAGCATCAGATAGACTTAATGTAAAAAAATCATATCTTTCGTTTGAAACAATGAAAAGTAAATCATTTTTCGTTCATTTCTATCGGCGCGCACCGAAACACATGGACACATTTCAAAAAGCATTGTAGAATCTGATTTTATTTCTATATTTTATAAAATTAATATATGTTTGTATGAGAAATTCGTGTGATTCAATACTCAAAAAATAAATCTCGATAATTTTAACAAGGATATTATTATTGTCGTCTGGCGGTTTTAGACGACAATGTGAATTTTCGAATAATAGAGTTTTTAGCCAGATAAAGAGCTACTCCATATATCTTGCGTGTTTGCACACTATATACATAGATGGAATTGATGCTCTTCCTTTATTTAGGTACCAAAACATGCTTGTAAAATCTATTTTTTAGACGACAATGATAGTTTTGTCACTTTTCCGGACGACATTGATAATTTTGTCACTTTCCCCAGACGGCAATAAAAGATCCTCATTTTAACATATCTTTGTTCACATTTGTTAATACATTAGTATTAACTAATTAACATTTATATTATAATTATTAAACTATATATAGTATGTACGTTCTAATAACATTAAAATCACATATCCTGGCAATTATTTGGATAAAAACAAGGCAGAAATTTGAAACGAAGTTTCATATTTCTCAAGCTTGCATTCTGGGCACTTACATGTCCAGAATGCTAAAAGGCGCGTAACGCTGTCGCTAAATATCAAATTTATTATAATAATTATTTTATTATAAATCGATCTATTATAACACACTGGTACAATAAGCCAATTTATTTAACCTCTAAATCCAAAAAACTCAAATGAGATCACATTACAGTCTTGTCAATAGGATTGTTATAATTTCTTATAATTTAAGCTACATTCTTGTTCATTAAAATACATTTTTATAATTTGTTTCATTTTTACAATTCAAAAATCCAAATTTATTCAAAAAAATAAAAGTATAAAAAAATAAAATAAAAAGTTACTGTTCATTATATTCCCAGATGCAACACATGTGATCACCGCCTACAGAAACGAACTGATTCGATTTTGGATGATGAGCTATTGAAAATACCGTATTAACATGCGCAGCAATTGTAGTTTTGAGTTCTCCCTTCTTGTAATTCCATATACGTATAGTCTGATCCTTTGACCCTGAGAACAATAATGGAGTATCTGGAGAGAAACAAGCTGTAAGGGTATAATCTGTATGTCCTTTAAGCTCAGACTTAAGAGTTGCAACAACACGGAGCACCCATACCTTAACTGTCATGTCTTGTGAAACTGTAGCTATTGTCTCATCTAAAGGAGATACGGCGATGCCAAGCATATTTTCCTTATGGGCATCGAACGAAGTAGTGTTCTCGAATTCGGATGTATATATCGTAAATTTACCAGCACTTGATGCAACTGCATAATAAGAATCTTCTGGGGAAGTTGCAATTCCAACGATTGCGCTATCCTTGTCTTTCGGAGGAATTCGCTTCTTCTCTGTATAGTTTGCTGTATCCCATACGATAATTGATCCGTCGAAATTTCCCGAAATTAAAAGAGTTCCTTCACTGTTATACAGCAAAGATGAAATTTCGAGGGTTCCGCCTGTAAGTGTTTTCTTGATTGCTTTTTCTTGGATGTTAACTATATAAATATAAAATGGAGCGACAGATAAAGCGATGTAGTTTCCATCTGGAGAAAATGCAATTGCCCTACTGCTGCTGGCTGGCTTCTCCGGTGGAGGAAGGTCGATCTGGGTTACTAACTTACCAGCAGCTGAATCTAAAACGAATAAGCTAGTTCCGGCTGAAAATGCGATTTGTGTGCCTTGTTTATTGTATGCTACTGCGCAGATAATGTCATCGACCATAAAAGCACCTTTCAATGTAACGTTCAAGCCTGGGGTAGTATTCAAAAATTTTACTTCTGGATTGTAAGGCTTAATAGCAAGAGCATCTTGTGAGGCAGCTGCAGCATTGCCGGTTGCCTGTTGCGCTTGCTGATCATCTGCACCACGGTTTTGGCCACCTCCAGAATCTAATGATAACGTCGCACGATCGAGCTTTTGTTTCAAACTTTTGTATATATTTCGAAGAATTTCATGATCCTCCTGACATTGCTGCAGGTGGATAATGTATTGATCGCGCATTCTTTCGAGATCAAGATTCTCCTCCTTAATTTGATCAATGCTTGACCTAAAACGTGTAATCTTGGACAGCATTGAATCCGTGATTCCATTGTTCGGTAAGGAGATAGGAGTCTCTATCTTCGCGTATAATTGCTGCGCAGTCATTCAAATATTTTAAAAAAATCGTAAAGCTTTCAAAATTAGAACATTCATATTTTTTCATCCATTTGATTTCACTTCAGAAATATGATATTGAACAGAATTCGGATCTTTGTACAGATCATTACCATATAAAATCGACAAGCATATCATGTGATTTATTGATCTGCAGTGAGAAGATATATATTTGATCATATATAATTTGGGGCCTCAGGTGGCTTCGCTTGCCCTTCGGGCAAGCACGCCACCTTCGGCCAAATTAAATAATTTTTTGAAAAATTGAATTATTCACTATTTAGTTGGCGCAAAGCGCCAACCAAGTAATGAAGAATACGAATATATGTTTACTTAAAATATGATTAAAATTTCTGAACGAAAACTATCAAAAATAAGTCATAAAAATATAAAAATAAGAATCTAATTTATTGTAGAATAAATATCCGCAAAGTCTTCGTAACATCCTTAATATATATACTGTCTTAATTCTATCGGCGCTTCGCGCCGATAGAATTAATTGACAAGGCTGTCATGCACCAGTGTGTTATAACAGATCGATTTATAGTGAAATTTAATAAAATAATTATTAAATTAAATTTGATATTCAGAGACGGCGCTACGCGCCTTTTAGCATTCTGGGCACTTACGTGCCCAGAATGCAAGCTTAAGAAATTTGAAACTTCGTTTCAAATTTCTGCCTTGCAAATATGCAAAAAGAAAGTCAGTACAAAAAAATTTTTGAAATTGAGAATAAAAATAATATCGTGATTTTTTGTGATATATGGATTTTTAGAAGATTTTAGAGATTGAAGTCTCAATTTATAAAAATTGACAAAAAATGATCGTAAAATAATTGTTTTTGTTCAAATCCCTTTCATTTCGGGAAATTGAAGTTAAATATCAAAGAGATGGTCTATGCATATGTTAAATCAAATCATTAAAAAGTGTTTTGATGACTTTTTCTAACCGCAAATTGTTACTTTTTGATGTTTTAAAATTATTATATATCCTATATGCATTCAAGATGCAAATTAATATTAAAACTCCAAAATCGATTTTTGAGAGAATCAAATTTATCACATCTCATCGTTGTTCCGAATTAATATTTTATTTGTAATGTACATATTATCACAATTACATTCATCATATTAAAATTCAAAAATAATTTTTGAGTTTCAGATCTCCCTAATTTCCCATATAAATATATGTTTATTTTATTAAAAATAGAATGTCCAATTATTGATAAAAATCGATCCGCTTTTCTACCGGTCAAGCTGTATATATATAGAACCCATCCATGTAAACCTCGATGTCACTTTTGCGGCCTCACTCCGCTCGGCCGCAAAAGTGACATCGAGGTTTACATGATGGAAAAAACGTAAAAGTGACAAATGTGTCATCGAAGTGTTCGAGAATTTGAAAGATTACTGTATAGAACAGAGTTATTGACTGATACAGAAGACATAAAAGCAAATATAGTGGCAGTAGAATCTAAATTGACTGAATTGAGGAATTTAAATTTACTTACACCCAATCAAGAACTTGAATACACAAAAACCATATCAGATATTAATCAGAAAATAGCTCCAAAGACACCTATAAAGAAGAAGAAAGCCAAATCTATGATAAACAGTGAAGAAGTTTCAATAGCGGAAGAAAAAAAGAAACAAAATCAATTGACAGACGAATTTATGAAACTTACCGAAAAACTCAAAGATAAAGTTGTTGAAGTTGGAGCCGCATTAAAAGATGATCAAGATGTTGTTGAAAATGTTCAGAAATCTCTTGACAAGAATCTCTTAAACAGCGAAAATGTCCAAGGCGATTTAGATGATAGAATTAGCGAACAGATCGGTTGGAAAGCCTATAGATGGCTGGCTGAAGTTGTTATTGCTTATCTTCTTATAAGTTTCTTCTTTACATAAGTTTATCTTATCGGATTTACGTTTGTTTTGTTTATTTTTCTTTTATAAATAGTTTATCCCTTTGTTTATTACGAAATTATTGAGATCAATTTTTTTTATTTGACAAATTCAGTAGTTTCTTATGTGATATAATTTTGTTTCCCTTAATAAAGTGAATTTCATAAAATAAATGGAAAGAATTTTTTTTATGAAACAATTATTATTTTATAAACACTACGCATATTATAATACAAATAATTATTTTCTATAGCCGATTGGTTTCTTGCTCTTTTCATGAATTAACTTTAATTGCATTTCTTTTTCTTTGATTCTCTGTTCCAAATCAGCTTTTTGCTGAGCTAAAGCATCTTTCTGTTGTTTTAATGATGCCATCTTCTTTAAGTATGCTTTCTTCTCTCTTTCTCTTCTTTCAACTAATTCATCTTCTTTTTGTTTCAAATTTGCAATTGCAGCTCTAATTTCTTCATCTGTCTGTTGTGGCGCTACTTGTGCTTCGCCTGACATTGATTTCTGCTGTATGTTTACTTCACCTTTTAATCTTCTATTTTCTGCAAGAAGATCGTGCCTTCTTTCTTCAAGTAGCTTGATTTCTTTTTGTGCGGCTTGGAGTTGGCTTTTAAGCTTCATAACGTTTTGTTGTGCTTCAATAGTGTCATCACTAGAAGCATTCAGTTTTCTAAGCGCCTTTTCTTGACGTTTAGCTGTTTCTACCAATGCGGAGTTTTCTGATTCTAAGGCGGCAAGTTCTTTCTTTCTGACGGCAATTTTATCTTTAATTGTTCTTGCATCGTATTTCTTTTGGGTAGAAGCTGCTGCAGTATCACAGCAGTTCTCTATTAATGATAATTTTCCTAATAACATTTCTCCCATTGCAGCAAAATCTTGACTTGTTGTTAAATCTACAACTGGAAGATTGTTTTGTTGGATTTTCGCGCTGCTAAGAATGTTATCGAAAAGATCATTCATTAGACAAAGATTAGTTCTAAGCTCTGTATCAAGATCTGTAACGTCACTCATTAATAACGATTATTGTGTCACTTTTTGTATAAATAATGAGTAGCGAAATTGACGGTATCCTCAAGAATCTTGCTACAATTCCAGGAGTCACAGGATGGATGGTTCTTAAAATGAACGGTCTCCCATACAAAACTTCCTTGAGAGAAGCCGAATCCGTTCATTATGCTGGCCTTGTCAGTGAATTCGTCAAAAAGGCTAAGACAACACTTGAGAACAGCCTTCTTCCAGGAGCTATCAGCCAAATTCGCGTTAGATCTCACAAGAACGAAATTATTATCGTTCCAGATAACGACTTCATTTTAGTTGCAATTCAAGATGCCGCAATACCTGCTTAAGTAAACAGAATGCACTCAGTGTTTGTTTAACTTCTTCTTAAAAATAACGTTTTTCTATATTTAATAAATTAAAGTCTGACTATTATAAATCAACTAACATCCAAGTTTTTCATACTTTCGCCGCTGAAATATATTGCTTTATCTATATATCAAAAATTATTTTCCAAAATTAAACAAATCTTGATGATGTTAATATGATAGTGAGCACATTCAAGCTATAACTAAATCAATATGCTCTAGATTATTTCTTAAAATTAATCAATAAGGATCAAAATCTTTGAATTAGGTAAAATAAATCACTGATACTTTGAAATATATAAGGGGTAATGGACACGAACTAAAATTTGTAAAATTCAGAAAACTTGACTAATCTGGTGATTTTTGAAAAATGGCAAAATTTTCAAAAAATGAAAAAAGCAGCACAAAATGTACTAGATAATACGATTAATTTCTTCGAAGGATTATCACCTGTAGTGGTTATCCCAGATATCATTGAAGAACGTCTTTCTTCTAGTAATATTGTGAACTATCAAGCTGCAAAAGGATTATTCTTTGGTGCAGTTAACAGAGCATTGAGAAAATACTGCATCTCTCAGCAGAAAAATCTTATTATGATGAAACGCTACAGTTTAATGCATGCTTTGATCGGTTTCTGGTGGTCATTTGAAAATAAATTATATGATTACGCGATGCAGACTGGTTTGATATTCGAAGAAGTAACAAAATTGGAATCAAATCAGCGTAGCGGTGTTATTTTGAACGAAACATACTTCCAAATTGTAAGATTAGGTTTTCAAAACTGGGCTGACTATATTTTGAATTTCAAATTCGTTTCTGATGAATTTCTTACCATGCTGAAGCTAATTGAAGAAGCACCAGCCCTTTATCCATATCAAGATAACACATTTATTCCAAAACTCATCAATTACTTAGGATTGATCAAGAAAACACCAGAAGCAGCTGAAGAAGACTTGTCTCTCATAATTTTCATCTCAGCAAGCTTGAGATTATTCATCCAACACAAAAACATGTATCCTGAAGCAGTTACTGAAGATTTACAATACTGTTCGATGCTTGTTGACTCTATGCCAGTCCATATCATGTATTCCAGGAAATTTGATGAAGTTCGTGACAAATCAATTAAAATCTTGGAATCAATTGAGAAGAAAGTCGACGTGGTTAATCGTAGTCCTGCCAACTTTACAGTTTTCGATTCAGTTGAATACCAGGAGCTTTTGAAAATGATTTATTCATGTAATCCCGAAATTTACATGAAAGAATACGTTCCTCTTCAACTGAAGCAGATCTCCAATGTTTTCCAGAGCAAGAGAATTGATCCGAAAACAACTTCTCCAAGAGTTGTCTTTGATTTTCTTCACAACACTATTTATCCGATCTATAAGATGCTGGATGACATCATGCAGAACAATATGGACCATCGCCGCAAATTCGCTGCTTTATTCGCTGAAAGATTCATGCCAATCAAATTATTTGCAGATTTCAGAGGCTTCTTTATCCAGAATGATGAGAAATTAATTACATCTATCTGGAACATGTCGAAGTTCCTTACAGATTACGTTGCAATCATCTCAGATGCCTTCTATTCATATTTCAAGCGGACAATTGACAAATACGTCCTCCAGAAGCACGAAGATGACCTCAACGAAGAAGTTTTACGTATAAATAACTACGTAGACAACGTTTTCGGACACGACCAATTAATGGTTTTGACGAGATCTTCAATTTACATGCCTCATCAGTCAGACCAACAGCTTCTAGGTAGAGCTAGAGGCTTAATTGAGATGGCCCATGAGCCTAAGAAGATGAATGTCTCAATTCGCGAATTATTTGACATTGTTCCTCACGTTAAAGACAAACAGGACTTGTTTACAAGCATTGCAAAGTTTATACAGAACCAATTGCTCTCTAAAATCGATCCGAACATCGAATTAGAGCAATCATTGATTAATTCCATGGGACAATACGCTGATTACGAGTACATCCAACCTATTAAGCAGATTGTCAATGACTTTGCCCATAGATTCGACTTCTGGAACGAAGTCAAACAAAAAATTTCGGATTCATCTGATGTCAAAATCATGGTTTTACCATCTACAACGTGGACAAAGATCATGAAGAATGACAGACTTAAGGTTTTTAACGAATTTGATTCTTTGAAAGCCGCATTTCTCAAAGAATTTAAGAGAAAGAACCCGAAAAAGAGCCTTATCTTCATGGATCCAAACTCTTTGGTCGAAGCTCGTGGTAGACTCAAAGGAATGGACCGAGAATTGAAGTTCCTGTTCAATGGAACTCAATTTGCCATTGTAAAGTTCTTGGAAGGTAAATCTTATGCAAATTCTGACCAATTAAAGAGTGTTGCCATATCAGAAGATACACAGGAACAAATAGATAACTTGGTAAACTCAGGATTACTTGAATATTCTAACGGATACTACAAATTAGCTGATAACATACCAAGTTCAATGCATAGGAACTATGCAATCAAGTATACGTCAGCTGAAAACATGGCCATGGCGCTCTTGAAGATGCAGGACATAGAAAAATCAGTTTCTGCTTGCATTATAAGAATTCTTAAGACCGGAAAGAAGTTAAATGCATCAGAAATTGTTGTTGAAGTCAAAAAACGAACAGCACAATACTTCAGAGTCGATGACGACACAATCAGAGAACAAATAAGAGATGCTGAGATTAAGGAGTTCATTAGGATGGGCCAGGAATCTGGAAAATATTCTTACTTACCATAAATCATTAAAAATGTTTGTTTAACAAATAATTTTTTTTTAATTTTGACTTATCTTCATATTTTTTTGATAAAATCGCACGCAAACCATATAATATTCATAGTTTCATATCTCTTATTTTAAGTTTCAAAATTTATCAAATTTATTTTGTTTGTTTCTAGCAAGAGAAGAGTGGTTTGAATTCTCTTCTATGTGCTTTTCTATTTGCAATGCGATAGAAAGAATCATCCAGAAAGAATGAATTTCGTTCCAAATTCAGTTATAATATGCAAAATAAAAGGTTCAACTGTCTTTACAGAATCATAATTGCTATTAAAATGAAAAAATAAATATTCTTATCAGTTATTTATAGAAATGTCACTTTTTCAAAATGAAATCAGGAAAAAGTTCAACTAAATCAAAAGAGCCTAATTTCAGAATAGCGCCTAAAACATACTCTTTAAGGACAACCCAAAAGCCACAGAAACCAAGAGGTATTAAAGAAAGATCACTTGAATCAACAGATTCTTCCAAAGAAGATCGCTCAGATGCAGGAATGTTGAAAACCCTGAAAGAGAAAAATGATCAACTTATCGAAATGCTGAGAAAGGAATATCCTAACCCAGAAGATCAAAAAATGCTCGGAATTTACCAATCAAAGAAGAAACATTAATGTATACAGTATTAGCTTTGTTTTTATTAAATAGTAAAAGATGATTTACTGAAAATCACGAATACAACAAAAAAATTATTTTATTAGATTGAATTACAAAATGTGAATTAAGATTAGTATTGAAAGGATCCATGTTTCAATTTTTCAAGAATTTTTCATATAAACCATTATATTTTTTGAATATGAAAAAAGATTTTCCTTCCATTTAATTGTTATTGAAAGTATTTTGGAGGAATATATATATAAATGCATCTTGTATCGCAAGATCAAATGGATCCTTATGTGTGACTCTTGTGGTATTATATTTATCTAGTTGTATTATGCAATTGAAGTGACTACAAAAATTATGAACAATGAAGACTTAATCTTGAGAATTATAATTTCCATAATGGAGAATGCTTTCCGGTACATTCAAACAATCGACTGCCTTATGTAATATGTCTATTAGGTGTATTAAATGTGATTAAGTGTTTAAAAATCAAAAAATAAAAAGTGTATTAAATATGATTAAATGTTTAAAAATTAAAAATTAAAAGATTTTGAAAAGTTGACAAAGTTAATTGTATGACTATTATCAAAATGTGGATGATAGATCGGCCTCCTGCAACACAGTTTATAATTGTGTCTGTAAGTAATCTCTTACTTTGCCCTCTGCAATCTTCAGTGCAGTAAATCCTTTATTATTTTGTGCTTCTTTATTAGCTCCAACTGAAATAAGATATTTAACAATCCATTTTTTGATGCAAAAAGGAGTGGAGTCCATCCAGATTGAATCTTTGTTTCTTTATCACAGCCACATTCGATGAGTGATTTAACAAGTCTGAGATTTCCATTTTCACTTGCTACATGAAGAACATTCTTCTCCATATCAAATTGATATTTTTTAGGAGCAATACTTTTCCAAAGTCCTTCTTCGCATGGTTTTGAAATTGCTCCAAGGTTTCCTTTCGAAGAAAGTTCATCAAGGAATTTGTAAATGGTTTCAAAATCATCAGATTTCTTAAGCTCTGTAATTTTAGTAAAATCATCTAGCATTTGATCGTAATTTTCATTAGTGGCATTGGTAGCTGTTCCTTTGGCCGTATTTTCATGTTAGTTTTGAAATTCTTTGGATTTATCTTGCAATCTTTCAGTTGATTTAGTAGAATCGTTGCTTGCTTTCTCTGCGCGCTTTAAAAAATCAACAATGCCATCAAATATATTGAATTTCATGTATTTTTTCAGAGAGTTAAGAATTGAAACAACTTCATCGAGATTTTGGACATGAACTCTTGTCTTTCGTGTACACATATATAATTCTTTGGTGTTAATAGTTGATGAAAATTGTTTTAGAAGAGTAACGTATTGATCTGCTGTCAAACATGAACATTTCATGATTGTCTTGATATCTACCATATTAAATGTATCGAATAAGTTTTCGTTCTTAATATAATCGCCGATATGAGCAGAAATGTATAAGAAATTTCGATCCATTTCGTTATTGAAAATAATCGTAACTTTTCTGTCACCTATTAATATCATACTTAATATATTAATCTTCTGATCATAAAACACTTGGAAAATGAGAAAAACTACAATTTTTTTATGGGTTATATATATATATACGGTCTAGGTGAAGATATTGCGGATCTTCAATTCATAATGTCTGAACCCCAAAATTTACATATTCAATTTCTATAGGTTGTTATGTTTCAAATTCTATATGATTTTACAGGTTGTAATGATTCAAATTCTATATGGAGGTCTAAATAATCAATAGGTTCTTTTAATACTTCAATAATTTTCTCATTTGGCGTGTCAAAAGAAATTACACATTATGTCTCAATATTTATATAGGCAAACCTAATGCAGATGAATAGCTAAGGTTCCTTTTTTTGAATACCCAAAAATGGGGAAAAAAATATATTGTAGATTTGTATAATATAGGTTAGTTGGAGTCATTCACCATGTACCTAGATGCAAGTAACTAGTTTGTTCTATCCATTTTTCATTTCGTTTTAATGAATGAGATAGAAAGGGAGTTCATTGCTTCCCTCTTTACTAAATTAAAGGCGAAACCAACATTTTCGGTACTTGGAGAAAACAAAGTTTCATCAAATATCCCCCTAAAAGTCGAAGACATCTCAAATAAAATTTCAAACAAGCAGTATGTCGGATTTTATGACTTTGTTCTTGATGTAAGATATCTATTTATGCTACACAAAGAGTTTGTAGAAAAAGATACTGATAAATTACTGATAATAAGCACCTTACTTCGTTGGTTCGAAAGAAAAATCCAAAAAGCACCTCATTCTACAAAAGATTCAATTGATATCGCATTGGGAAAACAATTGCATCGTTTGAACGAAATCGAACAAATATTAAGCGTTTGTTCATACAAATCCTCAACTTCGAGCGAAAATACAGAAGACGTAACTCAAGACTATTGCGATAAACCGTATTTCATACAGAATTTAATCGAAAGATTATCAGATGTAGCTCAGTACGAAGATGTCATCAAGATTTTTGCTAAATACAATATAAATATATTGCAATCCAATAAAGTATCCATCCCTTTTGAAAAAATTCCAGAGGAATGCAGAAAAGAGCTCTATAACTACCTATATAAGAAGATATTATAATATCATTGTTTGTAAACGTCTATTATATTAATTTTTTAAACATTTAGTTGAAGCAACACAGTTTGACGCCAATGCATTCAAAACAGCGTCGAGAAATTTGAAAAAGTACTAGTAGTTACTCTAAATCCAGTGCAAACAAATCAGAAATCACCCAAAAGCACATAAATGCTTTAATTTCCCTGCAATATCAGTTCTAAAGCGAGATGTTGCTGTTTTTGAGCAATTTTCCAATAAAACACGGCCAAGAAAGAGCACATTTACTCTCGTAATATAAGTTTCTCCAGTATAGCCAAATGGAAAAGATTCTTTATCTCCAGCATTATCACAGACTACTCCTCGCAAGATGCAGCCAAGTTCTTTGCCAATCAAAGATTTTAAGTCAACAAGACCAGAACTTTCTTCGATGTTTATGTCGCCTTATCAAATAGATTCGTCATCTTCATCTAGAACGCCAAATTTCTCCTTCATACGAAGCCCGAGAGTCGATGAAACACCAAAGAAAGTTTATCCATTGCCAAGATAAGCATAATAATCATGAAATTATAAATATTGTGAAGTTTTACGGGCACTTACTCGCCCGAAAATTTCATATAATTTGGATTATGTGAACAATGATTATTTTTACTTCTAATGTAAATTTATATTTGAATTAAACATAGTCGTAGTTCACATAATTCATATTTTATAAAAACAATCTAACAATGTTTATATAAGGATTTTATTTATATTTGACAATACAAAAGAGCATGATAAACGCTTGATCCTCCACTTGCAATCAAGTATAATGTTTCAGCAAATTATTTTCCTTTTTCTTCAAGAGAATTGAACATTTCAATGATATTCCATTGAATAGGCTTGTATTTTACTTTTATTCTGTCCGAATTTCAACAAAATTTGTGAAATGTCGACTTTCAGTCGATTTTTTTTGTTCAATATATTGTATTTTGTTGGAAAACTATCCATATTGAATCTCTTCCTAAACATGTTGTGCATTTTTGGAAGAATTTATCCAGTGAATTCATGTGCAACTTCACCAGGATGTATATAATATAACTCATCATATCTAACAAACTCAAGTGCAAAAAATGCGTGAAAATGATTATTTTACATTCAATTTACTCCCTAATGAAAACCTTCTTCGAAAATACCAGAAAACTAAAGAATATCTTATGTTATAACATTATTTTTTTGGCACCGTGTGAAATAAGAATTTCAGCAAAATCTTTACTATTTTCCATTATTGCAATATGAAGTGCGGTTCCTCCAAATTCATCTTTTTCATTGAGATTCGCACCATGTGAAATAAGAACTTCAGCAGTTTCTTTATAATTATTTATTGCTGTCACATGAAGTGCGGTTTCTCCATATTTATTTTTTTCATTGATATTTATACCATGTGAAATAAGAGCTTCAGCAATTTCTTTACTATTATTTAATACTGCATAATGAAGTGCGGTATATCCAAATTCATCTTTTTCATTGAGATTCGCACCATGTGAAATAAGAACTTCAGCAGTTTCTTTACTATTAATGAAAGCTGTCACATGAAGTGCGGTATATCCACATTCATCTTTTTCATTGAGATTCGCACCATGTGAAATAAGAACTTCAGCAGTTTCTTTACTATTATTCCATGATGTATCATGAAGTGCGGTTTGTCCAATTTCATTTTTTTCATTGATATTAGCACCATGTGAAATAAGAAGTTCAGCTATTTCTTTTCCATTATTTTCTGCTGCAATATGAAGTGCGGTTTCTCCATAGTTATCTTTTGCATTGATATTTATACCATTTGATAGGAAATATTCACAAAGAGATGGAATATTAAACATCGTTGAATAAACAAAGCATTTGTTTATATCATTAGTTTGATCGAAATAAACTAAAAATGATTCAAGATTATTATACATTCCACAATAATCTAAATCGATCTCTATATTGTACTCATTCATCAAGAATGTAACAAAATCAATGTTGTGTGAAATAATTGCATATTTCATGCATTCATTATCTGGTTTTTGATATTTCAAGCATTCACTCAAGATCTCTTTGTTTCTTCCTAAAAATGAAAATCTAAGACATTTTTCAGTTATTTCTGAGCTGAATTTCGTTCTTAATAACTTGAAACAATCAACTGCTCCGTGGTAACAGCATAATTCAAGTAATGAATATCCTTCTTTAGAATATGGATATAAATCGCTTTCAAGCGTTTGATTTTTATCAAATTCATCTCTTTCTGTGAATGTGATGAATTTTTCTTTGTCATTATTCATAATTGCTCTGTAAATTGTATCTTCGATATGAATATCCAGATTTTCTGAGTTAATTTCTTTAAAATCATCATATTTGTATAATTTAATTCCATATTCTTTGTAAAACAGGAAATTTGAAATATGTGCAATACTGCTGACCTCTGTGACATGGTAATTATCAGATATGAGTTTGGTAAGAAATAAATATGACTTTGCATAGCGATTATTACACAGAATGATATTTAAAATGTCTTTAATAGCATTTGTGGGGAGATATTTCTTTGAATCAATCAATTCTGTTTTGATCATTTTGTAAATTGACTTTAATTCTTCTTCTTTTTCCGTTTTTAGCTGATACAATGCAAGATATGAATCGATATAGTATTTGTAAATACTTTGTAATTTGTTGTATTCGTTTAGATGAACGTCATGGTTATACATTAATAATTTTTAAAAAAGACATATTTGCTATTTACCATATGAAATACCCCTTAAATTCCATATACTATGTTCTACATGTAGAAAACGAAGATCATAAAGATTTTGGATACCCTGATTTATCATAGCTTTTCAACTAAAATATTACCATCACAATTTAGCATAGAATGATCCTTAAAACTTCTTATAGACTTAATTGTTAAATATTCAGAAATATTTTAAATCATTTGTATTTTTTGCTTATTTACGAAAGAATTCTTATGGTGACAACTTTATTACGTACCATATACCTATGTTTCTATATTTATTCTAAGATAGTTCCCTACAGTAATTACCCTCGAAACAACTAGCATAAAGATAGACTTTCAGTGCTATTCTCCAACGTTAAATTATTGAATTGGAATTATGAATCATTATATTAAAAACATTTATTGAGGAAAAAGTATTAAACTATCTAATATTTAAAAATATAACAAACAATTTTATTTCATATCAGATTCTTTCGTAGGACTTGGTGTCGGTTCATACGTACGGCATAAGTATGTTCCAAACATCTTAATTTCCTTAGTTTGGCTGAATTCAGTCGGATTTAAGTTTTGAACCTCGCCTTTGAACCTGGAATTGCTTGGAGTATAGCATTTGTTAAGTAAAAGTGAATAACCAGGTTCAACCGCTGCTATAAAGCGCATTTCATTGGATAAAAATTGAGTATCAATGATTTTTACAGTTCCTTTTGAAAGAACATTAGAAGCAACCAAAGGAGACTTGTTGGATACAAAAGAAGATGATTTGGTTGTATAATTTCCTTGGTCCAAAATCAAAATTGCATTTCCGCTTGTTGTATCGTTAGCAAATGTTGAGAACTTTATTAACGTGCTATAAACATGTGCTAATATTGCGCCTGGAGCTGATTTATAATTCAGATTTTCTTTTCCGCCGTCAATTCCTAAAGTATAAAATGACTTCGCTGGTTCCTTATAACACTTAACCAATGCGGAATGTGTGAAGTTTAGGATGTTTTCGGACTTTTTATCAAGATGAAAAACTGCAAAAGTTCCGATAGCATTTTGCTTCGCAGCAAGATGTGATCTATATGCGCATATATGGCTAAGGAGATATGTTGATGTTCCAAAGCTTTCTATGAAAACTGAACCACCAGATTTTTCATTGTAACAAGAATCGAAAGTGATGGACTCAAGCATTACTCTTGTATATCCATCTGTTCTTGATACTATAGCGGATTTTGTATTCTTGAAAGTACAATCATAAATGAAATAATCTCCATTTTCATATATTGAAACCCGCGATTGAAGGTAAGCGTACTCATCTGGATAATCTAGCTTGCCAAAAATATTGGTCCAATCGTTAATTGAAGCTGAGTAAATCTTACTCAGAAAGAAGAAAAACATTTAAATTTTTGACAGTTTACATGATAAATTTATTTACACTGTAAATTTTGTCAAAAATATTTGCTTCAAATGATTATTCCTCCTTCTCCACAGCTTTTGTTGCATGTTGATGATCAGTTCTATGGCCAACAGATTTTCAGGAAGGAACCTTCAATTTTACCATCAGAAGAACTTCGAAAACAGCGAGATTCATTCATTTTTGTAGATTTAGGCCTTATGTGCCTAAATGGACAAAATCCTAGAGTCAGAAAGTCTATAAAACAAACATTAACTCTTTTATCAGCATTTTTTGAAATTCCAAATCCAGGAATTCCACTTTTCTTCGGTGTTTTATCAAATGCATTAGGTAACATCCCATCTTCATTATACTTTTTCCAACTTGCCGCTCAAAGGGGCAGCACAATTGCAATGAATGCAATAGGAGTACTTTATCAACGTTATTCCGCTTCAATACCAGATCAAACAGTCAATACTTTCCAAGAAGCTCTCAAGTGGCACAAAAGAGCTCAAAAATCAGGCTCCCTTGATGCTTTATCTCATCTTGGTGACTTATTTTACTCAAATAGCGATAAAATCAAAGCATTACACTACTACTTACAGCATTTCAAAGCTACTCATAGTATTTCTTCCGCTAAAAAATGCGCAGCCATTTTCAAAAAACAAAAACAATTCGAAGCTTCAAAACAGATGCTCAAATTAGCAGCAGCTCAGGGTGACAAAGAATCAGTACTAGATATGATCGACATATTACAAAACGAAAACGACTCTTACGAATACAAATTATGGGAAAGTATCAGAATTCAATATAATATTCAGATTCCTCAACCACAAACATTCTCACATCTCATGAGTGCTTCACGGCATAGAGATATCGGGCTTCCGCCTTTCGCTGCCGCTGCAAATATACTTTCATTAGGAGATCCTTTTGGACAAATCGATAATACACAGAGATTACTACAGAATCTTACAACACTTACGTTCTGTCATGATGATACTCCCAATTTCCCTACTGATCCCAGTTTTGTTGAAAAACCATCTCCGGCTTTTTACCCTTCCACGAACAGGACACGACTTTTACTACTGGCGTTCCAATATACGTCAGCCAACTTCTCAGAAAGGAACTTAAATCTTGCTAGTTTAGCATTAAAAACATTAAATGAAATATCTCCTAAAGGTATATGCGAATCCAAGCTTTGGCAATCAAAGTACAAGTACCCACGTGATACGGATTATGCTATTATTGGTTTTATTTCATATATTCTCGATGACTTTAAATCTGCATTAGAATTCTTCGAAGCAGGTGCCAAAAAAGGCTGTAGAACATGCGCACTGATGGCCGGAATCATGTTATTCCATGGTATAGGCTTCCAGGCTAAACCGGACTTCGCTTGCTACTATTTCGCACAATGTCCGACCGACCCATTATCGTTACTTCACCTGGGAACTTCCTGTGACGATGAAATTTGGCTGACAAGGGCTGCAAAATTTTTGGGTCTGCCGGCCGATAGCGGAAGAGTCTTTGAGTGGGCGGGAGATGCATTCATGGAAGGTACTAAAGTACCACAGAACAGACAGATAGCTCAGATGTGGTATGGACTTGCATATTCAAAATACAAAAAAGGTAATGAGGATATGAGCGAATTTCTCACCAAAGTTAAGGAAGTTGCAACTCTCTAATTCATATATTATTTATTTTATAGATAAAATTGTTATATTTTTTTTTTTGAATTTTAATTATTTGATTTTTATGCTATTGATTTAGGCAAATTTGTATTTTCAACATATACTTAAATAATATTATTGATATTAAGCACTAGTAAAAGACAGTTGAATTTTGATATTATTTTTATAAAATTAAACTAAGTTTACAGTATATTTAATATTAGTATTGCAACAAAATGCCTGGAATATTAGCTGCTGTAAATGAATTTCAATCAAAAAATCATATGACATGGCATATTGTGGTATTGCTTTTTTTTCTAGTTTTCGACTTAACTGTTGATGTTATGACAGTTCACATATTTAGAATTAATCAAATTTCATGAATTCAATCCGAAATCTTTGAGATCATTGTTTTCAACATACTTAGCACATAATTCTTTTTCTTCTATTAAATTTTAAAGATATTTTTAATTGTAGAATGCACATATATATATAAATTTTTTGATGTCTGATAAAAACATTCAACAAAATAAATATGGCGAATTGCGAAGTATCTGCAAATACTACATCGATGCGTACATTGCGTTGTATCAGCTGAAAACGGAAAAAGAAGAAGATTTAAACTCGATTTACCAAATGATCAAAACAGAATTGATTGAATCAAAGAAACATCTTCCTCAAAACATCATAAGGGATATTTTAGATATGATCCCATATAATAATTGCTATACAAAGTCGTATTTAACTCTTGCCAAACTCATATCTGATGAATATCAAGTCACAGATATTAGCAATGTTAACCCTATTTCAAACTTCTTGTTTTACAAAGAGTATGGAATTAAATTAAACAAGTCAACTAATTTCGCAAAAATTAATCCAGAAAATGTTGACATTCATACAGAAAATACAATTCACAAAGCTATTATGTATAATGAAAAAGAAAAATTTATTTCATTCACAGAAAGAGAAGGATTTGATAAAGATCAAATTCTTATTAGCAAATTATATCCAAGTCTCTATTTTTCCGAAAAATATACATTGCTTGAATTATGCTGTTACCATGGAGCAGTTGATTGTTTCAAATTCTTAAGAACAAAATTTGACTCAAAAATAACTGAAACATGTCTTCATCTTTCATTTTTAGGAGGAAATCCAGAGATCATGAGTGAATGTTTGAAATATCAAAAACCAGATGAATATTGCATGGAATATGCAATTATTTCACACAACATTGATTTTGTTACATTTTTAATGAATGAATATAATGAAAAGATCAATTTACAAGTTTGCGGAATACACAAAAATCTTGAAGCATTTTTAGTTTATTTCGATCAAACACATGCATCCAACGAATGTTTTATTTATTCTGCAATGTTCAATGTTCCATCACTTGCTGAATATTTTCTTTCTCATGGTGGAAATATCAATGAAAAAGATGAATTTGAACATACTGCTCTTCATTATGCGGCACACAATAATAATACTGAAATGGTTGAATTTCTCATTTCACATGGCGCAAACATCTCCGAAAGAGATGATGAATCGGAAACTGCTCTTCATATTGCGGCACATTATAATTGTAAAGAAACAGCCGAACTTCTTATTAGATTTGGTGCCGATCTTTCTGAAAGAGACTATGATGGACAAACTGCTCTTCATTATGCAGCACATTATAATTTTAAAGAAATAGCTAATCTTCTTATTTTGCATGGTGCGAGTATCAATGAAAGAGATAGCGAAGGAAAAACAGCTTTTCATACTGCAGCAGAATATAGTAGTACGGAAATAGCTGAACTTCTTATTTCACATGGTGCTAATATCAATGAAAAAGATTATAATGGAAAAACCGCTCTTCATTGCGCAGCATGTAATAATTGTCCCAAAGAAACAGCCGAATTTCTTATTTCGCATGGTGCAAAAATCAATGAAAAAGATGGACAAGGAAAAATCGCTCTTCATTATGCAGCATTGAAAGACAGTAAAGAAACAACTGAATTTCTTATTTTGCATGGTGCAAATGTTAACGAAAGTTATAAATATGGAAAATCTGCTCTTCATTATACAGCATAATACAATTGTCAAGAAACAGCCAATCTTCTTATTTCGCATGGTGCAAATATCAATGAAAAAGATAAATATGAAAGAACCGCTATTCATTATGCAGCATTGACAAACAATAAAGAAACTTCCAATCTTCTTATTTCACACGGTGCAAATGTTAACGAAAGTGATACATATGGAAAAATCGCTCTTCATTATGCAGCAGAATATAATAGAAAAGAATTAGCCGAACTTCTTATTTCGCATGGTGCAAACATCAATGAAAAAGACGCAGAAGGAAAAACCGCTCTTAATTATGCAGTTGATGAGAATCGTAAAGAAATGGCAGAACTTCTTATTGCGCATGGTGCAATAAAGTATTCTTCCTTCAACAGATTCATCTCTTCTTTATTCGAAAAGAAATAAAAAATAATTAATTAAGTTTTTATCACTGATTCTATTCGTGAAAGCAATTTTTTTTACAATTGTACATTTTTTTTCTATAATCTAGATTAGCAATTAGTAGACAGGCCATGAGAAGTATTTATCAAGAATTTCTGACCTCAGAATGGGCAAGATCCTCAATATTCCACTTATCATCAAGTCGAGCTTAATCAAACGAATCACTTTGGTAAAACATCAATTGACTATTCATGACAAAATTACTGCAAAGAAGCATTTGACAAAAAATTAAACCTTATAATTGATAATAAATTCTTATCATTATTAAATATAATTCAAATAAAACACTTTTAATACATATCTATTAAAAAAGTACTACGTTCACAATTGCAACCCAATTTGTAAGATTAAGAAAAAATATAACGTAGCACACCCTAACGATGACTTTTTGTATGAAAACGATATATATCATCCTAAGGAAATTAAATTGAATAAGTAATTTGAGAAAATATCAAAAGAAATTTGAACTTAAAACTTTTTGAATTATATTTAATAATTATAAGGATTTTATCATTAATATAAAAGGAAAATTGAAAGGTTGTCCCACGAACAGTGACACTTTTCTTCATTTTTCCTAGGGTTGCTGTTCGCTTCTTTTCTGCTCGTTATGGCAGAGATGAAAGAAATGATTGGTGGAGCCTAATTTATTACTCCAATTAGCAACTATCATATATAGTATACTAAGTATTTGCAAAGGTGTTCAACAATCCATTCGTTAGACCAGATAAGTGAAAATATTGATAAAGATAAGCATTTAATTATTCCGGAGAATACTAATAACGATAAATTATGTCCAGTTCTCGTGAACATTCACCCACCAATATTGGTTGGAAAGGTCTTAATCATTTGGTTTCCGCACCCATTCCACTCATGAAGCATGTGAATTAATCCTGATGTAAATACAATGAGTATCAAAAAAAGTACAGAATTTGAAATAGATGATGAGATTACTGAATTCAGAATATGGAATATTGCCAACAAAGGTAATTATAGATGTGTTATATAATTTTTGTAAATTGGATAATTTTACTTAAAATTTGATAGTCTGCCACTTTTGTTAGATTTAATAATATTAATGCAAAATAGGATAAAATTTTTTAGTTACCATATACTCTTCAACACTTTCTTGAGAACCCATTCATATCACCTTAATATTTACACTATGTGAAATAAGAGATTTAATATTATTACTTCCTGCAATATCAAGAGCAGTTTCCCCATCTTTATCTTTTTCATTGATATTTATACCATGTGAAATAAGAAGTTCGACCATTTCTTTACTATTATTATGTGCTGCAATATGAAGAGCGGTTTTTCTATCATTATCTTTTTCATTGATATTTATACCATGTGAAATAAGAAGTTCAGCTGTTTCATAACAATTGAATTCTGCTGCAATATGAAGGGCGGTTTGTCCAATTGCATTTTTTTCATTGATATTTATACCATGTGAAATAAGAAGTTCGGCCGTTTCTTTACTATTATTACATGCTGCAATATGAAGAGCGGTTTCTCCATATTTATTTTTTTCATTGATATTTATACCGTGTGAAATAAGAAGTTCGACTATTTCTTTAGTATTATTATATGCTGCAATATGAAGAGCGGTATTTCCTAATATAGTTTTTATATTGATATTTATACATTGTGAAATAAGAAGTTCGGCCATTTCTTTATACTTATAACGTGCTGCAATATGAAGAGCGGTTTTTCCATCATTATCTTTTTCATTGATATTTATACCATGTGATATAAGAAGTTCAGCTGTTTCATAACAATTGTATTCTTCTGCAATATGAAGAGCGGTTTTTCTATCATTATCTTTTTCATTGATATTTATACCATGTGAAATAAGAAGTTCGGCCATTTCTTTACGATTATTATGTGCTGCAATATGAAGAGCGGTTTTTCCTAATATAGTTTTTATATTGATATTTATACATTGTGATATAAGAAGTTCAGCTGTTTCATAACAATTGTATTCTGCTGCAATATGAAGAAATTGAATATTAAACATTGCTGAATTTGCAAAGCATTTGTTTATATCATTAGTTTGATCGAAATAAATTAAAAATGATTCAAGATTATTATACATTCCACAATAATCTAAATCGATCTCTATATTGTACTCATTCATCAAGAATGTAACAAAATCAATGTTGTGTGAAATAATTGCATATTTCATGCATTCATCATCTGGTTTTTGATATTTCAAACATTCACTCATGATCTCTTGATTTCTTCCTAAAAATGAAAATCTAAGACATTTTTCAGTTATTTCTGAGCTGAATTTCGTTCTTAATAACTTGAAACAATCAACTGCTCTGTGGTAACAGCATAATTCAAGTAATGGATATAAATCGCTTTCAAGCGTTTGATTTTTATCAAATTCATCTCTTTCTGTGAATGTGATGAATTTTTCTTTGTCATTATTCATAATTGCTCTGTAAATTGTATCTTCGATATGAATATCCAGATTTTCTGAGTTAAATTCTTTAAAATCATATGATTTGTATAATTTAATTCCATATTCTTTGTAAAACAGGAAGTTTGAAATATGTGCAATACTGCTGACCTCTGTGACATGGTAATTATCAGATATGAGTTTGGTAAGAAATAAATATGACTTTGCATAGCGATTATTACACAGAATGATATTTAAAATGTCTCTTATCATAGTTTGGGGAGGATATTTATTTGAATCAATCAATTCTGTTTTGATCATTTTATAAATTGAGTTTAAATCTTCTTCCTTTTCCGTTTTCAGCTGATACAGCGCAATATATGAATCAATGTAGTGTTTGTAAATATTTTGCAGTTCGCTGTATTTATTTGGATGAATGTCTGGGTTGGACATTAATATTTTTTAAAAAAGGACACATTTATATTTTAACAAATAAATATCTTTCAAATTCATTATAAGAAACAAATATTATGTTAGACATGAAGAAATCAATGATCACAAAGATTTCGGAAATAATTTATGAACTTTAATTATGTTCATAGGTATTAAATAATACAACAACAATAGAAAAGTCTAAAGCAATAGAATTTTCTTCAAGATGATTATAATCAAACAGAATTATTCTAGGCACTTCAAGGAAATCATTACATTTGGGGTCCCAATGAACCTGAAAAGAATTATAATGCTGATGTTCATCAGACGTGTGTAAATTTAAAAATTAAATGTCAATTTAAATCAAATCCAGGTCACAGCCATTGGTATTAATGCTTTTCGAAGCCACTCAAATCTTAAATTCATATCTATATATATTCATAATTCTATCACTCTACATGCCTTAGATTGCTTGAAATCCAAATTTGCTTTTAAGATACTGCATCCACAACTTACAATTTCCAATAAGAATTTTTTTCATAGCCAATCTATCTGATCCTCAACAAAATGGCTATAAAATTTTATAAAAAAAGAATTTATCATAAAATCATATGAAACAGTCCGAAGAAATATGAAAGTCTATCATAGATTTCAATGATTAGCTCGATTTTAACGGAAACCTAAAATCGAGCATTGAAAAGTCTAGGCAGACTTGATTATCCATACTACCCCTTTTTAGAAAATGTTTCTCCTTTGTCTTAATATTTATTACTAAAAGAAGCAAGAGAATGCTATATTTTAGTTTCTATATATTTTACCCGAATCATTTTTATTCATGTCAGCAACTAATTGAGGCTTGATATCTCAATCGAGTATGAATCAGATGAATTTAGATCATAATAATGTGTTAGCTCCAGTGATTGATGAACATCATAATAATATGGCTCTAAATGAATGCTTCAATTTTTTTATTTATGCAAATTGGATAATTTTGTTTAAAATTTGATAGTCTGCCACTTTTGTTAGATTTAGTAATATTAATTCAAAATAGGATTAAATTTTTTTGTTATCATATAATTTCCAAAACTAATTACTTAATTGGATCACAAAAAGCAATTTAACTTATCATACGCATTTGATTATACTGGAACACCACAAGTTTTCCATGCATTTCCTGGTAAATTCAAAATCCAATTATGGGGAGCAAGTGGAATTAAAGTATATGATCCTACTGCAAATGGATGTTCTAAAGTAACCGGAAAAGGTGCATATGTTTCGGGAATGATTCAAATTAAGGAAGTTGTTGACTTATTTGTTTTTGTTGGAGAACAGGGTAAGTCTGGTGGCGGATTTAATAGTAATTCACAGCTAATGACAATATCTGGAGGAGGAGCGACCGATATTAGACTTACAAACACCACAAATTGGTATGATTTTGATTCATTAAAGAGCAGAATCATGGTTGCAGCTGGTGCAGGTTCAGGTGAAAGATATTGTGGTGGAGATGGGGGAAGTTTAATAGGTTTATCAACGGATTCGACGTATTCAAAACCAGGATATTCTCCATCAAACCAATCAACTGGAGGAACCCAAATAACAGGGAGTTTGAATGGATGTTATAACAATTACCGATTATGCGGATCATCTGGAAAGTTTGGTATTGGAGAATTTGGAAATAATGCTGATGATAATGGCCCAAGTGGGGGAGGTGTGTATTATGGAGGTGGCGGTATTGCATTTGCAGGAAGTGCAGGTGGAGGATCAAGTTTTATTAGCGGCTTTCAAAATTGTGACGCCATTTATGAAAATTCTACAGAAAATAAAATATATCACAGTGGACAGCCTTTCCACTACTCAGGTAAGTACTTCACCGATGGTATTATGATTGATGGCCAACACGAGATGCCATCAACTGACCTCAAGTCAACTGAAGTTGGTCATGATGGCCATGGATATGCAATTATCACTTACATTGTTTCTAATGTTGTTTTTTCATGTCAAATGAACATATATCTCATGAAATTCTTTCTGATTACGAATTCTTTCTTAATGATCTCATAAAAACATAAACACTGTTTGATAATACCTGGAATTATAGAATAGAATCTTTTCATTGGAAACAATTGATTATGATAATTTGGGAAAATCATCTATAAAAGAAAGAAAACATAAATTTGAGAATAGGATATATGAGTTTTAGTTTAAATTTGGATAATTTCAATAAATTGATATAAAAATTTATAATTAAAGTATATATCAAAGAATAGTTTATGCGAACAATTGAGGGTAGATAGTTGGATACGAATACAATGATTGTGCGAGTAAATCTCCTGCATTAGAGAAAAATTCTAAAATTGTTGACTTATTATATTTGTTAACTGAAGAAGTAATGTCCAAATGGTCAAGAGACCATGGTCCTACTTCAACAAATGGTACTAACATCTTCGCTGCTTGTTCTTTTGTCATTACATTTGTTCTATTTGACATAACTCCTTCAGCAACCCAAACTGCTGCGGATTGGTGTCCAGATTGGCCCATATGTGCTAATGCTTTCCATGCGGAGACTTGGCTCTTTGGTTCGCGGTGAATTTGCTGAATTAAGTGGCCAAACTCTGGACCTGGGCGGTGCTTCCTAATCCAGGATGTAACACCTAAGTGGGCGAGTGTATATGCTTCGAAAAAGATTGATTCGTAATTCGGATTTGGTTTCTTAACTTCAGCTCTAATAAGAGCGAGTTTTGCAAGTACAGATCCCGTGTCGGCTGCTTTTCTAATGTATTCTGTGCGGTTTTCTGTCATTGGATGGAATGCGAGGATTTCTGCGCAGGACCAACTGTTGTTAGCGTATCCATCTAATAATAGTTCGTATGAACGATTGAAATCTTGTGGATAATCGCTTAAACCAATTAAATAAAAGAAGCCTGAAGCACATTTTGCTGGATGATATCCCAAATTTGAAAGATTTGCAATCTTGTTATGAATGGCATGATTAGTTGATGAGTTTCTAAAGCTATTAATGATTTCCTTTAGCTTCTCTTGATTCGGATTTGGATCTTTATGATAATCGCACCAAAATCCTCTGCAAAAGCTTCTCATTTGTTGATCAACTGAGTATGGAATTGTGTACCCAGGAACATATACGTAGTTTCTGAGTGCGATTATAGATGTGAAAACAAGAATCATTTGACAAAAAAAAATTTTGCCAATTTTGCCAAAACTGAAAAAATCAAAAATAAAGATTTATGTTTTTAAAGGGATTTTTATAACAACATAAATATGAATCTATTAAAGGCTGAGCTAAAACCATGTTAGATGCAGATCTTAATGAAAGTTGATGAAATTTTGCATGTAGATTAACAAAATACATTAATTATCTCTATATGGAATGTCAGTGTATAGACGAGGCATCATATTATTATTGAAATTGAAACTTGATAAAAAAGAAATTTATTTTGATTTTAATATATAAATATAAGCAGTGATATTGTTGCATGCTAAGTTCGGTCAAAATGTAAACCTCTCAATTTTATCGTCGGGGAAAGTAACTCAATTCCTTCAAAATTATTCTTTAAATATTGAATTTAAAGTTATTTAATTTGGATTATAAATAAATAGGCTAATACAATATTTAAAAATGAGAAAAAATAACTTTTCAAAGAACTTTTCATAATCTCAAAGAAAATTATTTATTCAATAATTATATAAATTAATTAACATTCATAATGGAATTGGATTTTTTTTATAAAAAATTGGTCCTACTTAACTTTTTGAGAGAATTTGGCTTTTCATTTTTTATTATGAGTAGACCAACCATTCCTTCTTGGTGGTTAATTCAAACACGCGAAAAACTTGAATCTCGCGAACTCAATTATTTAATTGCGTGTAAGCGAGTTCCATACGAGGATGAAATGAAGTGTGAATTTAGATCAATTTCGAAAAACACACTTAAAGCAGCATACACAAATGCAAATTTAACACCCCCAAACGTTAAACCTGGTCCGGCACCAGATGATATTACTCCTGAAAATTTGCAATATGTTCTCCAAAAATTTCAGGAATATAAGTGCGGAATCCAAAAGATGTTTTGGCGTTTAAACATGGATCAAAATGTTTATTCAGTTTCCTACAATAAACTCAGAAGAATTTACAGTATTTTGGAGATCAAAGAACCAAAAAGTGACAGACCCCCTCAAAAATATTATACGCCATATGAAGCAACAAAACCTGATACCATATGGCATGTAGATGTTCATTTTTTATACGGTTCACAGAGGTTACCTGTTTATGGTATAATAGACGATAAATCTCGGTTTTTGTTGGCTTTAAAAATTTTGCCAAATAAATCTTCCGAATCTACAACAAGAGTTGCCGAAGAAACGATTGGCTTATATCAAAAGCCATTTTGTTTCTGGTCCGACAACGGGGGAGAGAATATGGGCCAATTTTATAATTGGCTCATGCGAAAGTTAGTATGGCTAAGTCGTGTACTGAGGCACTGCGCGCCTCCGTACACCACTTAGCGGTTTTGACACTTTACAAAATCGTTAACGTATATTTTACAACACAAACGACAACACTAACTTAACCTTAAATATTTACAAAGCCGCCAACCACTTCACCTCACTACTGTAAAAAAATAAACGTTCTCACTTACAAAAGTATTGCAACTTCTCCCATTGCTGTGCTTCACATAACAGTTCATATTCTTCTGACTCACTTTCTTCTTCATATAGGTCAAAATCACTGTCAAAATGAATGTTAGTAAGTTTTGACAAAGCTAATGAAACACGTTTACCGTTTGTATCGTATGCTTGTATAAACTTTCCATTCTTCATTCCTTCATAAACGCTCAAACTAACTTTACCCTTTCTCCCTCGTATCTGATAGAATGTATTTTCACGAGGAACGAAGAACAAATTCTTGAACTCATGACCGTTGTAGTTTGTTATCTCAATAGTTTTCGTCATTTATATAAAAATAAAATAAAAAATAAAATAAAAAATAAACTTAAAAATTAATGATATCACCACTCCCACACGTATGAAAACATAGCACAAAAATAAATTTAGGTGAAGTGGTGAGATCTCACCTCTTTTTTCACCTGTTTTTCACCCTGTTGAATTCATTGCTTTATAACTCTCTTCCTTGGTTTCTTTTTAGTTGCTTTCTTCACGTCCGTCTCCAACTTGACTGTCTTTCTTCTTCGGCCGTAATGATACCAGTTACTTCCACCAGTCAATGGGTCAAATGGTCGTTCATAAGGGTTTCCATACATTCCATAGGGACCATACGGAAGAACTACTAGTGGAGAAGAAACATTTTCTTTAGTTCCATCGAATCTATTTAAATGCATTGTTTCACCTTTCATCTGGTCATTAAAGTCTTTTGCGTGTTTTGCAAACTCATCGTCCTTTCCTAAAGCATTTTCTGACTCAGTCGCAACCAAATTGGATGCTTTATTTATGAGCCCTATTTTATTTAATCTTAACTTCTTTGCAACCCAGCCTCCAATCTTCCCTTTATTTGCATCTAATGTCTTCGAAACCCTTCCTCCACTCATTTTATTTACTGCGTCATAAGCTCCAAGTGCTTTTGCTCCAAATGCTAATGCTTTTGTTCCCATTGCGCCTAAAGCTGCCCAAGCTACCATTTACCCCATATTAAAATCATCTCTCTTCAATATTATCTCATAAAAGTTCTCGTTACTGGAGAAAGTCAATGAAACATAAACGTTCTCACGGGCTTCGCCCTCACCGCTTTGCGGTCTATCTAACTTCTTTCTTATATCATCTATACGCTTCAAAATGTCTGAACAATTGCTAACATCTTCTACAACAGTTATTTCATCATGAATGACCTTCAAGAACAAGCTCATTTAATATGCAATTAAAATCATTTCAATAATGAGTCCATCCTTTCCATCTTTAGGTAGCACAACATCTTTCATTGAAGAAGGTTCGACAAGTCTTATGTTAAACTTACTGACAAAGTTTGTTATACTATAATGCTTCGGCGGCGAATACATATAGTTTGAAAGACATAATATAGATTCTTCAGCAAATTCACTTATACTGGATTTTATAACAATGTTCTCACGAGACCAAATACCACCAATTGACAATCTTGTAAGCAATCCTGCTGAACCTTCTACTGTAAATGTCGATGGTAACATTCCACGAAGGTCATCTATTGACATCGTTGAGTCACTGTATTTAAAGATTTTCTTAAAGCAATCGTCATTATCTAACCATGCAATAGCTTTGAAGTTTTCATTCGAATATACATCTGCTTCATTAAATGTAAAACCTGACTTCTTTGCAGAGACGACTTTAAAATCTATTGAGTTTGTTTCAAAATTATATGCTATGGTAACTTCTGAAGGTAATGGATGTCCTTCCGCAGTCAGTTGTTCTCTCACTACCGTTTGAAGCTTTGTATTAAAAACTTTCATGTCATCTCCTGTGTCTAAGTTCACATACACAGCAACAGGGAAACTATCTTGCTTCTTTGTTTCATCATTATACCTCAAAACATTAAAGTTCTTCAATAATATTGTTCTTCCTGCTGGAATACTTCGAACCTGTCTGATTTCAATAGCTTTCTCACCTCCTACATACTCTACCCAGTGTCTTGGATATTCATAAGTATACTGACTTTCTTGAATTTTGGTTGGTTTCATCATAACATGTTCATAGTATATCTTTATACTCTTGTCAGTTAGACTCGGTGCTATGTTCTGAATATTTCTGACTTGCATTTTTAATGGAGATAAAATGAAGCATTTAATACATGATGTAGATGAAGACATGAATGAAACTACAGACAAACTTAACTCTTCTCTTATTCTTCCTTTCAGTAAGGACTATGAATTCTGTTCAAATGGTGTGTATTTCTATTGTGGAAAGATGGGTTCAGGTAAGACATTTAACCTCATTCGTCATATACTCATAACAGAGCGTTTAGGAAACGACTCTTACTATGACCAAATCATTATATCAGCAACTTCAGACTCTATGGATTCAACAGCGAAAACATTTATGTCAAAAGTTCAAGCCTCTGTCGTTAAAGTTCCAGACAGTGAACTCATTGAATTTCTTCAACGTTACATTCGACGTAAGAGAAAATATTATGCCATCGTAGAGTTCATACAGTCAGGAATGCAAAAGACTTCTGAGGAGATGGAAAGAATTATTGACAAACACCACTTACGTCAATACTCAGGAGTATACGATATGAAACGACTTACAAACTACATTCTGTCAAAACTTTCAAAATACCCCTTCAAAAAATATCCTTCAAATACTTTGTTAGTTTGCGACGACTTCGCTGGAAAAGGTTTAGTGTCAAAGCCCGACTCACCATTAGCTAACATCATAACTAAAGTCAGACATTACCATTTAACTGTAGCAATACTTATGCAAACATGGAGGTTTAGCTTTAAACATAAAACGTCTCATAACTGACTTCGTTATCTTTCAAGGTTTCTCACGTTATGATATTGAACTCATTTGGAAACAGTCAGGTATAACATTACCTTTTTGAAGAAATTTGGGAAGCATATAAGTCTCTCATCTCTCCTCGTTCATACCTTGAGATTCATATCATGACTAATACCATTAAAGTCAAAAATATTCCATGGGAACGACCAACATTGTTTTAAAGTTTAACCTTCAATTGACTGATGGTAAACAAATTCCATGCATCTCTGTCGCCATTTCTTGTTAATATTTTTGCTGTCATTCATATCATCCACTTCCCCATCCGTTAGCTTTTGAGGATATGCGTTAGAATAGCTGTTCTTAAATGAAGGCTTTTCACCTTTGAGAGCATAAACTCTATAACTTTCTGCATACTTTATGTTTGAACCTCCTGAGCCATCATTGACATAAATTTTTATAGGCTTCCACCCTTTGTTCATGTTCCTGCTTCTTCCCTTAGCTCTTTTGTTCAGTAGTTCTACATCTTTATACACAGCACCTGTCTCAGTGAATTCAACAATATTTTCATTCGTTAGCTTTACATTCAAACCTTGTCGAGTATATTGTTCATTTCATACATATAAAAGGTTTTTTTCTATATGAAATGAGAAGCAAATCCATCTTAGCTGGTGCCGTTAATGTTCCAATTGAACCAACATCAAATGTTGACTCACGAACGACAAAAATATTGTTATAAAGAACTATAGTTCAGAGTGTTTGAAAGAAAAAGAACCAGAACTTAAGTCGGTGAATTTAAACTCAGCTTCAAACGCTAACGCTACATCAGATGTTAAGTTAGAGTATCCACCACTGGACCAAATTCTTTCAAGAGAAGCCAACGACAACCCTTACACAAATGTTCAAACAAATCCTTCAGATAACGTAGACCATTACCTTCTTCAGTTATACCAAACAATTTTACTCAAAGACGATAAGAAGCTTTTGACAAATCTTATAAGCAAGAACCAAATAATTCTAACAAAGGAGGACCTTGAAAATGTTATCTCACGAATAACAGGGAAACAATGTGTCATTGACTATCTCGACCCTGAAATCGAATGCTGTGGTCAAACTCCACTATTCATGAAAATAGGTAACATCCGCATCATTGAAACACCAGGAACTACAGGAGTTGAGTTTAAGTATAAATATTCGAACGAGTATACAAAACTTTCAACAGAATATAAACTTTGTTTGAAATATGTTTTAGTAAATTAAAGCAGTCAGGACCTTCGGTCTTGGCGCTTTGCGCCGTTAGTCAAAAAAATTTCAAGTTAGCAATTTGTAATATCTATCCAAAACTTCTTCAACAGTATCGAACTCATCTTCATAATGCAAACCTAATCTTATTGACTTGGTGCAGTTTTCACTAACACAATATAGCGCTTTGCGCTCGGCGCCTTTGACGCCTTTTTCTGTTCTCTTGACTGACATAACTAACTCATTTGTTTCATCAAACAGCAACAACCAAAGTTCATGACCTAATACATAACATTCATACTTTATATTTTTAGCTCTGAGTTCTCTTGTAAGCTGTTGCATTTAATATTTTCTAAAAAGTCAACTTCAACAGTCATTCGCACTGGTGCCTTCAGTTCTACAGGCTCTCCTTGAAAGTCAACAAGTCTGAATTGCATGTCTTTCAAATTATGAGGACTAATGCGAACCCATTTACCTAAATGAGTTGCTATGACAGGAACGTTTGGAATGAACATTGAATTTACTTCATAACAGAAAGACTTATATTCTACTGAACCTTTACTATTAACTCCTGAAATACCTGTGACATTAGCTATTTTGACTCAATGTATAAACAATTACCATAACATACGTATGGAACAGATTTCATCTCAATCGTTTTGTCAACACTTTTCAAAGGAAATGTCATATGGTATGCACCCAAAAGAAGTTGTACTCTATGACTCATTCTTGGTATCTTAAACTCTTTCTCGCTGCTGAACTTCAATGTTCCCTCAGAAGAGAGTTCGACATCTATGTTGTCAATAGTTTCTTCATTTATGAGAGTATCTATGACTCCAGCAATTTTATCTATTCTATACCCAGCTCTGTTAGGAAATGTTATAACACTTCTTTTGTCATCTATTTCAATCTCTATGAAATCTGTTTCATCTGTTATGACAAAAGTTGCGATAGTATTGAAGTCAACAACTCTGAAAGCAAGCGCTTCATTCTGAAGACCTAAGTTTGTTTGTAGCTTTACTGTCCCGTATTCGTTTGGGTCTGTACTTTGCAAATAGAACAACATTTTATTCTCATTAAAATATGACTATTGCTGCATATGCGTATGAAACAAATGAAGCAAGAAGAGCACATGAATTAGTAAACGAAAACTCAACTTTAACAGTGGAAGGCAATGATTTAGTCATTGACGATGGAAAAACTAAAAAAGTCATTGATTTCGATACTTTTAACACTTATGACCCATTCATTACAACAAGCAAGATTCCCATCATAAATGATGGAACGGTGCAATATATAAATTCTACAATAGATGCCTCATTAGTGAAAGTATTAAATGTTCTCATTGAATTGTTAAAGAGCTTTCGATTTGACGACAACATTAAATGCCTAAAGAATTTAGTCATGAATGAGAAACAAATTCTCGGCGTTGCTGGTAGCAGTAATGATGTACACCTTATGACATTAGAATATTATAACGAACATAAAGATGAACTGAAAGGAGAGAAGGGTGACACCGGACCTCAAGGACCACAAGGAATACAAGGACCTCAAGGCGAAAACGGTTTGGATGGTGAAGATGGAAAGGATGGAAAAACTGCTAAATCATGGATATGGAACCTTATAAATACTGGTTTAACAGCTGCTTCATATGGAGTTCTTCAATACCAAATCGGAAAGATATGGGCAGTACTTGGTGAAGAAGTTTTAGATGACGTTAAAAATGCTTTGAACTTCATTTCAAATGGTTCGGATACTATTAAAACTTTATCTGGTTGGATGCAAGAAACAAGGAGTCAAATAGATACTGTAAGACGTATAGCAAACAATGCACGTACGGGATTGGATACTTTACGAGAAGCACAAAATACACTAAAGGAAGCAAATGATATTCTTGGCTCAGTATCAGACATGCATGAGGATTGGCTTAAAGGTATTGACAAATCTTTAAAAAATCACAGTCAGTCTATTGCTGACTACAAGAAAAGTATAGATTTTTTACATAGTGCTATGGACGTACATGATGGAAGCATAAGGAACTTACTTAATGCTAACAATAACTTACCAGGAACTATTAAAGCATTTATAAAGTCCTTTGTAAAACCTGGTGCTCTAACATTTAGGTCTTTGAGAGCAAGAGCATTGAAGTCAAGAGATGCAGAAACTCCAACAGAACCTACAGAAGGAACCGAAACAACAGAAACTCCAGAAGAACCACCAAAACCAACAGCTAATGAAATATTGTTCGAATATTTTCCAAGGTACTCTGTCCTCATTGCATACATTCAAGAAATACTTAAGAAAGCAGACTTGACTTTAGGAGATGATGAAAGTTCTGTATATCTTTCGTTCCAGTTTCAAATAGCAGAACTTTTGAGACAGATATGCTTAATGTATGACAACATCTCTGATTTCACAAGATATGATGACGACCATAACCCCGAACACGGTGAAGAAGAAGTTTTACAAACATCCATTAAGACAGGAAAGGTTTTAACTCAAAGTCTCATTATTGACACCAAAGATGGCGAAGTGGACGTTCTTCAAGAGCTGAAGAAAAATACTTCTGAAGGAGGTGGTGGTAGGCATGAACTTGAAATAAATGAGATAGAAGAGAAATTAGCCGAAAAAGCAGATAAAAACCATGTTCATTATATAAGTTCAGACGAACAGATTATAACGGACTACCATGGATATTTAACACAGGATGAAGAAGTGAAGACGAAAGATGTTAATGAAAGAAGATATAAATTCATTCGTGCTAAAGGTTATGACATACGCGGTACTGTACAGTATGACACAGGTAAAGCACAAGAAGCATTTGGTTATAACGATGAAATATACGCTTCATACTTCTTTGTTAACGATGTATTAGTTGAACCAAGATTTACTTTGAGAGTTAAGGCAAAAATAACTTTTGAAGATGCTATTAAAAGTAAAGCTGACAAAGATGAACTTGACGCAACGAACAAAGTTTTGAAATCTCATAAACACAATATCTCCGATATAAATGAACTTCAAGCTACATTAAATAGTAAAGCTGACAAGAACCATACACATGAATCCTTCACTACTGTTA